TTTCCAAGGAAGACAAAGTCTCCTATCTTCTCTATAGGGTTGCCATATATTGAAGTTTCCTCATCGTCGTTTGTCGTGATTCTGCATTTAGCTGTGTTGATTTTCATTCCCCATTTACCACAGACTTCCACCATCTTGTTTGTTGATATTTGGAGTTTGTCATAGATGAGTTCGAGTAGAGTGGTGTCATCTGCATAGCGGATGTTGTTAATGCGTATGCCACCCATCTGAACTCCACTGTCTAGGTTTTTGACATCTGCCATCACGAACTCTAGGAAGATGTTGAACAGACTTGGGAAAAGAAGACAGCCTTGCCTGATATACATACTTAATGAGGTCAATCAAGTTCTTCTCAACTCCTATTGAAAGAAGGCACTTCCATAAAGCACCCCTCCAGACAGTATCAAATGCTGCTTTAAAGTCCACAAAGTTCAGGAGTCCATAAAGTCCATAAGGCTCTTGAATTATCTCAATGTATAATGCAAAATTTGTGAAAGGATATTTTCTTTGGAGATGCACAGTTTCTGGTTCTACAGTATTATTAACGGCCTAGTTTTCTCATTATTAGTACAGTATACAATTTGCTTACCATTAACCTGTAAGGAGGCAGTGGATTCACTGAACTATTTATGTTTACATGTAGTAAATCTCCTTGTATAAGGCGCACCTGTGTATAAGGCGCACCCCTATTTTTGAAGACACAAACAAAAAAAACAAACAAGAAAAATTGGGGGAAAAAGAAAAAAAATTCTGGAAAAAAAAATTCTGTCATCTTTAGTTTAAAAAAAAATATTATTACTAGGTCTAACTTAGTTCACAATTACTTCAACTGTGCCTCGTAATAAAATGAAAGTATTTTTGAACACTGAAATGAGAGCCGATCTGATCTGGTTAACTAAAAGCCAAAAAAGCCACTCAAAAGCTTTTGGGGCTGTTTTGGCTTTTTGTTAACCAGATCAGATCCGCTCTCATTTCAGTGTTCGAAAATAGTTTCATTTTATTACGAGGCACAGTTGAAGTGTTTGTGAACTAAGTTAGACGTAGTAACAATGTTGATTTTAAAACTAAAGATGACAGAAAAATATTTCTCGCGAGTCCAAACAGAAATTTGGACAGGCTAGTTTTCATGAGTGAGCTGCATGATACAGGTGAGTGAGCTGAAGACACGGGAGAGCTTCGGCCGGCAAAGTGCTTTGTGAAGGGGCATAATTTATCGTGACTGAAAAAAAAAAAAAAAAAAAAAAACTCTCTTCCCTTCAAATTAGGAACGTACTTTAACTTCAAATAGTAGATCCTATTCTTTATTTGCATTATGTAATTCATGTTGAGACACAGAGTTTCTCGAGAACCATTAAAAAGTGGCATTTTGAAGACTCTAAATATTCTGTACCTGTGTATATGGCGCACCCCTGACTTTTGATTTTTGCCGACGGAAAAAAAGTGCGCCTTATACACAGAGATTTACGGTACATGTACATGTACATAATGGTATGTACAGTGTAGGCCTAAATATGTTTATACATGTGGGCTAATATGAAGGCCTTTTAAGGACTTTAAGTTTGCAACACATTATTATTAACTATAAAATATCCTGCATCATACTGTATTTAAACATGTTACTTTCCTTCATAGTACTCACAATCTATTATCCATTTCAACATCATTTCATCCTTCCTCTCTACTCTCTCATTCTGTCTCTCCTCTCTCTCTCTCTCTCTCTCTCTCTCTTTCTATCTCTCTCTCTCTCTCATCCTCAATCTCCCCCTCTCTCACTCTTTCTGTCTTTCCCTCTATCTCTAAATCTCTCTCCTTCTCATCATTCCTCAATATTGCTACTGCTTCTGAATCTATTAATCATCTCATTATCCCTTCATCCTCCTTCTCCCTCCCTTCCTCCCTCCCCCTCTCTCTTTCTCTCTCTCTCTCTCACTCCCTCTCTCCCCCAGATCTCTCTCTCTCTCTCTCTTCCTTGGACTGCACATTTCCCACAGAGCCTGTCAATTGACAGTCGTTAGCATTTGTGTAAACATCCGGCAAATGTCACGTATTGTCCTCTGCGACGACCCATTTCCGCTCTGTATTCCACCCACACGCATGTTCCAATGTTTCGCCCACTTGAAATTAACTACATGGTAACCGGTCCTCTTGCGTATAGCATATACTATGTGCATATAGATATAATGCACTTGCATGCTGTGTGCAATGACTGTATCGAGCAGCATTTTGTACAGAACATAATACAGAAGTTATTAACTTATTATTTTACAGAAATCCACTTGAACAGATTTGCAGCTGGACACAGATATTACTGGATTTACGTAAATGTTAAATGTCCACTAACATTCTGTATCTACTCGCAGATCTATGTAAATGATTGTGTAGCATCTCGTTCACAGTTCTTGTGCCCTTGCAAACTGCATTTAGGTGAACAGTTACAAAAAAAGAGAAATGTCTATATCGGGAATGCACTTGTACAAATTGTAGTATGAGTTCATTAATGTACAATATGCATCAGCGGTGCTTGTTTAGTAGCATCTACAGTGTATAAGCTAATTTACGAAGCCCCCTTCCATATTTTAATTCAGTAATTAGATCTACTAGGTCCTATATTGTTAAAGTCAATCAAAACTACATTTGCTTCAGTCCATTACATGAACATGTAATACATTGCAGATATTATTTTTGATCTTTATCATATTACTAGGTTTTAAATTCAGTAAATTGATATCGAATGCATGTTTCCTTTAGGGAATAACAAATCATAGTCATGTACATATGTACAGTACAGTATGTAGCCTATATTTGAATGTACATGTGTAAAGTATGTTCTGCACATGGTTTGTAGATTGACCTGCTTCAATTTTTCTTGGCCAATTATCATATAAATACATGCACATACAAAGATGATAATCGAACATTTTGTAAATGAAATAGTAATAAGTTAAATTTATCATCTGTACGATGCGCATTGAGGTGAACTTGATCATGTCGTTTTCATTGAGCTTGGCTAAAGGTACATGGGTGAATAAATAGCGCACTTCCCGTGTCCTTGGGGGATTGACGATGCCATGAGGGAGAGGGAGAAAGAGAGGGGGAGTGAGAGAGAGAGAGAGAGAGGGAGAGAGAGAGAGAGAGAGAGAGAGAGAGAGGAGGGGCGCTTGGATCATGACAATAATAGTGCAACTGTTACCCCCCTGTGGGAGCCGGAAAGCCACATCAATGGAATACCTTGTTGCAGCTGTATTATGCCAGGAATTTGAGCCATGATCACAAGTCAGGTCAATGAACTCTGTCACCTCTCCCGATGGCAATATACTGTAGCACTTGAGTGTTTTGGGTCACGGTGATGTGATACATGTATGTTGTACATCAATATGCTTTGATTATATATACATGTACAGTATGTTGATTGTTTAACATACATGTACATTAGATGTCTTTTGTACGTTACACAATGGTCATAAATACATGTATAACATGTTATTATTCTGAGTCCCACCTTCATCTCCCTTATGTGATAAGATATGGTTCATGTAATTTAATAGTGCATGAGAGTCTTCATTCAAACTGTTTTTTTAAAGAATTTAAAGCCACTTTTTATACAGATGATTATACTCTGTACATTTTCTCCAAATGAGGTTTATGCATGTACATAGTACATGTGTACATTATGCTTAAAAGATCTAGTGCTTGTTATTACATTTTGAAATTTTTGTTATTTTGCATTATGAAGTTTGAGCATCCAGTAGGACAGTCATAAATTGCACACAAACTGAGAATATTGTATTTGTTTTAGAATATTAAATATAATTTCAGTTTAATTTTGGCCCTCCCTCCCCCCCCCCCCCCTCCCCTCCTCTCAACAAAATGGAAGAAAAAAATAAAGGGAAAGATAAGAAAGGGAGAGAAACAAGACAGTAAAGAAATGATATCACACTTGTGTACCTTTGCCGAAATATCATAATCCATTCATTTCTGATCTACTATTGGGCTTCTGTACATATACATGTATGTAGTTCTGTTTTTGTCATTCCTACTGCGTAATTTAATTGATTACGGTATGGATCATACAATGTCAGTTGTAAGTCTGCTTTTAAGATGACGTGCAATAGACATGGGGCCAGTTTCTCGAAACCGTCATCAGTCTAAGTTTGTGGAAATCCCATACATGTAAGATTGCATGTTTGTTTAATAACACACGTTTCAATGGGATGTCCAAGAAGTTAGACTTATAATGGTTTGGATAAACGGCTGTTGATTACTAATTGATACATTCGTCTTGAACAAAGATTTTCTTTGACAACTCAAAAGCTTGCCAGGTATAGTGACAGCTATTGTTTACAAAGTGGATTCCATCTATAGAGATGCCAGTACCAAAGGTTGCTGGTACTAAACAACAGAGCCTGTGCATGAGGTTTACCATGAACTCATTCAAGCAACAGACTGGAGCAGGGCAAATTCAATGTGTGGATCTGGTGTGATCACCACACCATTGTTTAAGCACGAAATAGTTTGGACCAGCATCCTTGACAACTTGGCTAGTAAGACGTCACACTTTGGTACTCTATACATGTAGCAGGTGAATTAACAAGTTTATAACCAGGGGGTTCTTGAGAGAAACATGCATATAAACACATTAGTAAACAAGTTTCGATAGAAATACTAGATTGTAGAGGTGTCGTGGTCGAGTGGAAACGTCGCTGGACTGTCTATCACAAGTTATGTGGTTCGAGTCCCACCGCGGCACTAATGTCCTTTGGCAAGACATCGATCTACATTTGCCACACTCCACCCAGATGAAGTAAATGGGAACCTGGTAGGGACCTTGAAAAGCAGCACGCGTGACAGCTGCGATGCTACAGCCAGGGTCATTATGCTGCATTGTTGTAGAGCGCTTATAGACTTCTGATAAAGTAAGCGTTAGGTGCTATATAAAGCAAATATAATTATTATTAATGATTTAACAAATTTCTTCCACTCTACATATATTTTCTCTTTAGCTTCCCGGTCGTCCTGGGGGTCAGGCAAGCCATGCCAGACAGGACTTGGAACGTAACAAAGAATGTCTGATCAGAGTCAGCAAGAATCTCTTTTCTCAGGTCATCAGTGGCCTTGCAAACATCCTCAAGAACCTCGCTTCCATTGTAAGTTCACAATCTTTGCATAGAACTCTTGTAGTAGTCATTGGTAGGATGTGTATTCAATGGGATAGATGAGGGATGGGGAAATGAAAAAGGTTTAGGATGTGACAAAAAGAGCTAGATCAAGATGATAATCAGCAAGAATCTCTTCTCCTGGTCATCAGTGGCCTTGCAAACATCCTCAAGAACCTCGCTTCCATTGTAAGTTCACAATCTTTGCATAGAACTCTTGTAGTAGTCATTGGTAGGATGTGTATTTAATGGGATAGATGAGGGATGGGGAAATGAAAAAGGTTTAGGATGTGACAAAAAGAGATAGATCAAGATGAGAATCAGCAAGAATCTCTTCTCCTGGTCATCAGTGGCCTTGCAAACATCCTCAAGAACCTGGCTTCCATTGTAAGTAGACAATCTTTTAATAATAATAATAATAATAATAATATTCCGCTTTTTCCACTTCCGGCTGCTATCGACTCAAGCATTCTTGCTTATGATAATTGGCCTCTGCATTTATCTTGATTATTTTTACTTACCTCCATACTTTCAAGCTTTCAATTATGCATTTTTTTATATTTGTGTGTATTTCAGTTGTCACTCTTTATGTTAATCAATTATATTATATTCTATTATTGTTATTTGAATGTTTTATATTTGATTTATCAATAAATGCAGAAACATCTGCTAAAAAAAAAATATTTCAACAAAAATTTGGCGCCCAATACATCGATACAACGATGTGCCTAAGCGCTTTACAGATATATTATTACCCGGTCATCGGATTCAGGCTTACCTGCACACAATGTATGCAAATGTTCCAGTCCCTGGGGAGCATATTAGCCAGTAGCCATATTACAAGCGCACACTTGCTTATTCAACCACATGAACTTTTGCATCCTACCTTCATAGAACTCTTTTATTTTAGTCATTGGTAGGATGTGTATTTAATGGCATAGATAAGGGATGGGGAATGAAAAAGGGTTTAGGATGTGACAAAAAGAGCGTGATCAAGAGTATCCCTAAGTATCCCATCTGCTGTAAGTTAACAATTCCTCTTTGTCAGGGAAAGAACAGTCCACTATGTGGTATTCTCTCATTGCTTCAATAGAATTGGTGTGCTAGCACTAAAGTTCCAGTTTATGAAATCTGCAATACACAATGATGCACACATACTGTAGATATACAGTACAAGTGTGTCATGCACAAACATGTAGATTCTTCAAAATCCATTTTTTTTCCTCCTCTAAAATATGCTAGTAAATGTTTAACAAAGTTTTTATGTATGTACACTGTTTAGGTAATGTACCCTCTTTATCTGTACATGAAAGCTATAATTCTCATTTTTCTCTCTTTGTTGTGTTTTTGATATTGCAGAAGGGGCTTAATCCAGACCAAGAGAAATGCCTTTTTCAGTCGCAGCTCATCATTCTGGATACACTGGAAAAATGTCTCTCAGCTGTAAGTTCTCATTTCCAGTATATCATTTTACCACAGTGTACTCTTGCCCCTTGTCCCTCCGTCTTCTGCCCTCCCATCTTCTCCTCCTCCCTCTCCCTTTCTGCCCCCCCCCCCCTTTCCTCCCCTCCCTCTTCCTTCCCCTCCTCTCTCCTTCCCCTCCCTTCCTCCATCTCTTACCCTCCCCTCTCCTCCCAGATCCCTTCCCCTCCCCGTCTCTTCTAATTAAACCCACAACCAATGACCCTCTCATTAATTTCCCCAGTTTTTACTCAGTTCATTAGTAGCATTAATTTGGAAACATTATTCAGAAGTATAAGTTTTCAAAAACTCTCAATATACTGTAGTATAATCTTGCACTTACAATATGCACCATGTATTATGCTTATATTGTTTTATGATAATTCAGATTCATGATCTATTTTAGGCAATAAACTGGTAATTATCTTATATGGGGCACTTAAAACTAAGAATTCAAATATTGACATAACTATCTTTGGAAATACATAACATATAAAGTTAGCGATAATACATCAAGCTTCTGTTGACAAATAATACAAGTCATTCTTTCCTTGTTCCCTGCTTGCAGAATGCATTCAAATGTAGTAACTAATCAAACTCATTGCATCAGTGATAAGTGATTGTAATCAGAGAATGGGAGGGAATAAATTGATAGATGATGAGTAATCTGTGACCTTGAATCAACAGTGTACAAAGTTTTACAAAGTGAAACTTAGAATACTGGGAATTCCCCCTTTGCTCAATAATGTACTTTACCATGGCGCCATACTCTTAAACCAATAAACATAACCACAATAATTGCACACAACTCACTACGAAAAGGAAACTATTATTTATTTGAAATATGATAATAGCACCGAGTGTTATAATTTGAATATCAATTGATACTCGCTTTGTAAACAGACTTTGTACAACAGTTTTGTATTGATCTAACCTATTAAAATGTATGTGTACATATAGAAATATACAGAAAATAATTCTTGTGATATTTCATTTAAACTTGTGAATAAAAGCAGCATGTTATTGGTCTTAGTTGCTCAAGAAAATATATCATTTATTGAAGAAGAAAAAAATGTTTTTCAGTCTCATTTCGTTCCACTATTATTGCCACCATAAAGACACTTGGCAATAGATGTACATGAATACGTATGTAAATTGTGGAGTTTATGAATTGAGATTTGAAAAAGTCAAAATATTATTTCTGCTTCCCCTCCCTTTTCTGCATTTTTCCATTCTTTGCATCTGTTCCCCTTTCTTACATGTATATTCCTTTTATTTACAATTGTAATCAAATTATTTTATCTACCTCCGTAATGGAATAGAAGAGAAAAAATGAAATCCATCCCCAATTTGTTTTGTATACGGTAACACCTGCTTTAGCCACATTTCTCATTTTCCTTGATCATGCTCTTACTGAATATAGCTGAACATACGTGTCAAGACCATCAGCTCTTAAAGACTGCTTTTCTAGTCTATCTACAGGTTTGACTGTATCTTGTATCCTATAGCAACCCAAAGATGCATCCATCCCAGAAGAAACTATGATGATCAAGACCCTTCTGCCCAAAATCTACATTTATGGCTTGTGGTATCTTTATTTCTATCTAACACCAGTAGTGCCATTATGAAAACGCTCTTTTGGAATAAATGTAAACGTAAATTATTGTCATTTCTTATTGAACCTATAGCAACCCAAAAAGACATTGCGTTCAGACGAGACAATAATAGACAAGTCCCTTTTATCTGTATTTTCTGCGACTCCCGTACATCAGTCTTTCTATGTTAAGTTATAAAAAACACTTTTGCGTATAAATGTTAATCGTTCTCATCGATTCTAATTAAACCTACAGCAACCCAAAGACACATCCCGTTCGGACGAGACAATGCTGGTCAAATCCCTTCTACCAGAAATCTGTCAGCTTCTGAATGTTATCTCCGAGAATCCTCTAACACATCAGCTTCGGACATCTGCTTCTAGGGTCCTGTTTGCCCTCAGTCTCAACAACTTCAATGCAGTCTTCAGCAGGATATCAGCTAGGTATGTAGAACTTAAATTTGCTTTAGAAATCACCTGTTTAAAAAGGCCATTCTTTTTGTCACCCTTAAAGATAAAGTTGAGTTCTGGTCATGCGATTGCATTGTGAAAGAAACGGTGTGGAATCGATTATAAAAAGTTGACCATGTAGCAAATAATTATTGGTGTGAATTGCAAGGTTCTTGAATCATCAAAATGATAAGAAATTTGGCCCAGTCTTGGTAAAAGTAACAAGTACTCTACACAGAAAGATGTGGCATAAAAAAATGAGACCCACATTTTTAAACTGTTACATGTCATATTTAATTATGAAAGCATTTGAAGAGCCATGCCTTTCAGGGAACATTTTTTCTCTGATGTTCTTCCACTTGCATAATATACAATAAAAACGCTCACAATTTTTGTTGTTGATAAAAACTCATAACCCAGTTTAGCTACATGTTATTATTCCCATTCAAGTACATAACCATCAATACTGTTATTATGAAGCACGGAGAGTGAGAAGGAAATGGATTGACTTGTATTGCGATCATGTTGCTTGTGTATTCGTAATGATACGATACTGTGACTGTGAATAGATACTGATGTTTATTATGAAATTTAATATTTCCTTTCTGCACAAGCTCAATGTCAATAACTAGTATTACTCATATTCTAAATGGAAATGGAACTATATATACATGTACATGTATCTCTCCTCTAATGATTTTGGCAGATAAAAAAAATTGACCAGATGCTTTATTTAATATCACCCATTTATTAGTAAAAAAGAAAAGAAATAATTAAATATATGTGATATCAGGTGGAACCTAACAGTCAGTTCTTTTATATTTTCAATGCAATGAGATACATGAAAGGCAGTTATAATTGTGAAAAAAATGAAGGCTTTGTATCGAAACATGAGTTATAGATAGAGAATGACATAGAGAGAAAGAGGGGTGAGAGAGAAAGAGGCCTCTCAAACATCTTGGCAACGTTCTGTTTAGATATCTGGTCTTCCTGGTAACAGGGAGGTAACTGTCCACTTTGAGGAGCAGTGGATATATACTTGGAAGGCTAGTAAGGGTAATGCCTGATTGATTTGGGAAGCTTTCATTTATTGTCAGGAAGGAATCAATGACCGATGATGGTGATTTTATGAGCAGATCATGAGAGGTTTTAGGATGTGCGCTTAGAGCGCTAAATCAATGACCGATGATGATGATTTTATGAGCAGATCATGAGAGCTTTTAGGATGTGCGCTGAGAGCGCTGAATCAATGACCGATGATGGTGATTTTATGAGCAGATCATGAGAGCTTTTAGGATGTGCGCTGAGAGTGATGTCAACTCTCATTATCATGTTCTAATTTGTAATCATGATAAGTTGATATCTTATATCTGTATGTGAAATTGTGTAGGGTTGTTCAAGTTGTTATTCAGGACACTAAAAAAGAGTTATAGGAGTAGAGATTGATTTTGTTGTGGAAAGCTCACTCCCCTCCCCACCCCAAAAAAACTGAACGATTTTAATAAAGAGGGGGGAGGAGGGAATCAAATTGTAAATGTGTTTGTTGATTTTGTTCATGTTACATATGGGAGCTCTCGTATTCTAAATAGAGATAATTTTTTTCCGTCCATTATAAAAACATTCAAAGATTGTGACAACTGTACACATACACATATCGTCCTTGTTTTCACGAAGTGACGGTAGTGAGGAAAATCGTAACGCAAAGTGAATGCAATTTTTTTTCACTACCGTCACTTCGTGAAAACAATATGATGTGCATGAAGGAAACAATGCATATAATTATTAATGCATTATAATACATGTAGGCATGGAATTTAATCAGAAGGAAGGAACAAATGAATACCGGTACATTTAAAATTCTGAAAACAAGTTTGAATACATGTGGTTTTGATGGAAGTGTTTTGTTGATGAAAAGGAAGGAAACAATGGCCTACTTTAATGCTTGGTTTATTGATAAATTCTCTAAACCTGTGGTAGAATTAGGGATGCTTAGGGGATGATCTCATAGGTTTATATCTGATACAGGCACTTCCTCTTTCATGGTTAGAGTATTCATTTTGTGCATTCTTTGTTACAATACAACACACAAAGATATACATGAAAATGCAATGAATATAATATGTACATGTAAACAAATAACCCTTAGGACTAGAAGTTTATGAGTTTATATTAAATAAAATAGCATACCGATAGCTGTGTATAAAACTCCATAAACATGTGAAACTAATGAACAAACATTCTTATTATTTTATGAAATATATTGTGTCAGAATTAAGTTTTGTCCTTATTGTTTGAGTTTTGTTCAACACATTCCAATCAGTTTGGTTACATACATTTTCTTTTGAAAAAATAAAATTAATGTGGTCATGACAATGTGTATTGTTAAGTTAATATGAATTTGAATTCATTGCCTTGAAATCTCCACTCATAAAATATGTCTTTATGAAATTAAATATGGTAATTAAATGTCTTTATGAAATTAAATATGAAATTAAATATTTATGAAATTAAATATGGTAACTTTTTAGAGGGTAATTGTTGTTTGCATACAAAATCAGTGATGTGGATGTAAAGTTTTAAAATGATTAGATTTTATCGTACCATTTGAAAATTGTGTTTTTAAATCCTTTTCTTGAGATATATAATTTGTTTCCCCAAATCTCTATTTTCTTTTCTTTGCCTATTGATTTCCTATAGATTGGATGCATTGAGTAAATCCAGTGATGAAACATGTGATGAGAGTGATATAGAGTTGATACAGCACATCAATGTAGATTGTGCCAGACTCACAAGGCTACTCAATGGTAAATATACTCCAAACCTACTTTTTTTTTTCCATTTTGAAAATTTGAATGCACTTTAAGATAAAAAATAATACATATTGAGATAAAACGATGGTAAAAAATATAAATGAACAAAATCAGTTTCAAGTTGAAATTGGAATATACATGTACATATTTGGTATGCATATTCATTTTGGAGAGAGCCCACAGCAAGATGTTCCAAGAGTCTTTGATGAATGGCACCCAACATATAATGAATAAAAAAGTATATACAGTACTGTATAGACAAGTGCTATTGTAAAGGTGTCTATTCTATTAAGTCAATTCAGATCTTTCATTGAACAAGATATTACAAAATAGTTTCATGATGTGATGATTACAATATTTATCTCTGGTAAAATGCTCAATATGTTTGTATTTTCATTATTTCAAAGTATCAAGTGATCATTGTAGTTTTTATTGTTTTGTGTGTTTTGTTTTATCCAGAAATCATCAGTAAATTCCACACTTTGAAGAGAAATGCTATGACTGTATTAGCACAGAGCCTTGAAAAGGTAATCCATCATCAATCATTTCTTTGGTATTTGCTACTTGTGTAATATTAAAGAGTAAATGTTTGTAGATACTGGCATGGAATACTTTGATTTAAATGAAAAGAACTTACTAAGGAGGATTTATTCATGTGAAATTCTATTTCTCTTATATTTGTTAATGGTACTGTTTATTGGGCAAAAACAAAATCATGAAAGCAGTAAATACAAAAATGTTAAGTTAAAGAGAGTTATAATAATGCAGGGAATAGAAATGGATTAAATAAAGTTAATCCAAAAGTCTTCTTTACGAACCTTGACACTAGACATATCAACACTGACAGCTGTAGTTTTGTTCAGTCTCCCTCCCCGTCCCGCTTATTTATACATTTATTTTATGCTTCCCATAATTCTGCATTCATTTCTTGTTGTATAATTATGAGTGATTAACAAAATAGGAAGGGGTATTTTTGTTGATGATGTGAAAACATTTTCTTTTATATTGGTTTGTTTGTCTTATTACATGGTACAGGCCATCTGGAATTGGATGGACAACTATCCTGTGGAATTCATGCAACTTCAAAGGTACCAACACAGAGACAGTGATGGTAAGAATCATCTTTTATACAGTGAAACCTGTCTATAAAGGTTACCTAAGAGAGACAAGAAAAGTGGTCTTTGTAGACAGGTGATCACTAAATCAGGTTTGACCGTAGATGTATATTATGAAGTGTAGGGTAAATGATTGATGTAAGTAAGTGAGTGAGATGATTGTAATTAAGGCACCATTGTTTTCTTTAAATGAAGAAAAAAAAATGATTGTTATTAGATTGAGTATCATTGACAGTACCTGAAATTAATGTATCAGTTATTATTTGCGTATAATGGTAGAAAGTAGAGAAGGAAAACAAATTAATTGGGAAGAGAGATACTTAAACATGAAAGCAATTTTTCTATTTCATGTATATTACCCCTGCTTATATTAAATTTTGTAATGTAGTCTTAATCCATTAAATTATCGTTTGAAATAAAACAACAAAATTAGTAGAATAGACCTAAGAAATGTAAATTCTCAATTTTCCTTTTTGATTTGCTTCATTGATCTTACAGGTGTGAACTCTCGGCTTGGACTTACCCCACACCACTGTGCAGAGTGCTGTGAGAAACTCTTTGACTTAGCAGAGAGTCAACAGGAATCAGCCAAACGAAAGAGCTCTATGCTTCTCCTACAGGTTATGCTGCTAGTATTATGCCCTGTAAGTAATACTCACAATTCTCATCAGTTCTCTAACGCATGCTCTGGAAGCTGTTGCTCTGCTTTCAATTTCCTGGACTAACTGAATTCCTAAATGTCTATCCTTGGCCCAACTCTACACCTAACCCTTGACCTAAACATTACCTGACCTGACCTGACCTGACCAATCACAAGCATAAACCCATACCTGTTTCCTGCTGAAAGTTTGCTCAGAACAAGTTGCTGGAGGGAAGGTCCCATTACCATCTTTTTTTTTAGAAAGATCAGTTGTTTGCATATGAAACACAAACTTTAGTTGACTATGTTGATATTAACAATCTTTCCAATAGAATCTAACACTTTCTGATACTAAACAATTTTATTTGAAGGAGTAATCACATTTAATGACACTGACAGAGAGGGAAAGAGTGATTTCAGTGATATTCCTGCAGTCTATTCTAATGGGTGCTTCTGTCGATGAAATGCGTCTGTTGATGAAGTGCTTCTGTTTTTCTTTGTTCAAAGCTCTTCTATAAAGTAGTATTTCATGCATGCCACTTTTCATGTAAGATCCTTAATTTCTGGCCCTTGCAAGTGTTTTCATGTTGTATTTAAGGCCTTTCTATAGTATAAGAATGGTCATTGTAGATGATTTCCAGGCCCTCTAATTACTTTTGTAGATTGCTTTAAAAATGTCCTCCAAACTTATTTGCTCAAAGCGGCTTTCCAGTAGATTTACTTTCACTTTGTTGTTTCTTCATTTTTTGTGTATTTTCGTGTGCTTGTACTTTATCTTCTCCATTGCGCCTCAAACACATTAGTTATGTGGGGTTGGCGCATTACAAATACTCTATATTATTATTATTTATTATTATTCTCTTTCCTCTTCTCTCACTTTCAGGGTCCATTAGCTGAAATCCTCCATTCAAATCACTTGAACCTATCACCGAAGCAAATGCAGAAGAAGCAGTTGCTTGACTCTTTACGTCGCTGGCTTGAGTCTCCTAGCAGCAGCAACAGACAGCAGATGGAATGGGCTGTGGTGGCGTGTGTCAAGCTCTGTAAGGCTGCATCCTATCTGCAGAACTCTGAAGGGAACGCACTCTATGATTGGGTGCTCAAGATGCTCACAGATCTAAATGTTAGTAGATGCAATTAAGGATGTACCTTTTGAGAAATGCCAGAGGATATAGACCTACTTTCTAGCATTTTTAAAGAACAGTTTAATCCTGTTATAAAAAAAAAAAATGTTTTTAGTTATGCCAATGAGTTTTAAAATTTAGGAACCAAATGACCGTTTAGGGTCCCATTCAGTGAAAAAATATATATATATTACGGGGTCTCCATTTCCAATGTTTTGTAAATTTCAGGGGCTACTCTTTTCAGGGGCTACTTTTTTCATAAAGCTTCTTCTCAATAACAAAGGCTAAAGTTATACAACAAATTTGCTGTCAGCCAATACAATGCAGTGATTTCTGTAGCTTATAACTGTGATTGATAAAAAGAAATTATGAAACAGGGACATGGTCCAGGTTTCCAGATTTCTAAAGGAAATTATTATCCACTGTATTTGATTAAATCATGCAGTTAATTATTTACTCTGTGTTTGCTGTTAAATTGTACTTGTGTATCATTGAATAGATGTTAATCTTTTTGTTTGAATCAAAGAAAGCGCATTGACAATTCACCCTCTCTCTCTCTCTCTTACAGCTCCAACTGTTCTGCCCGTCACGTCCCCTACGCTCTCAGGTAGATGTTGAGCTGCTGATAGACAGTGCTGTAGCTTGTTACAGACTAAGACCATCGGTACCGGAACATTTCAGGACCTGTCTCCAGGCTCAATCACCTACTGTATTCCATCTGGTTCTGGTCCAGTCTCTTCATACTATTGTAACAAAGGTATTTATGCCAGCTTATTTAACTTTCAAAGGCTGTGCTTGTATATAGATGAGGTGTCAAATCACACTAGACTCTTGTTGGTAAATTTTAGATAAAGTGTTCATAAATCTGGTGGAAAAGGGTTAATTTGGAGAACCAGCAATATTCAAAAAGTTTAATGATCAAAGTATAAGAAAAGCATTCGCTTCCTTAAACATAGTTGAAACTTGAAGGTTATTCATAGATTTTGTATGACCGTTGTAGACCGTATTAAGAGTTAAAGATAAATTTGAGTTCTGGTCATGCGATTGCATTGTGAAAGAAGCGTTGTGGAATCGATCAGAAAAGGTTGATCATCTAGCATATAAGTATTGGTGTGTACTGAAAGGTTCTGGAATTTTCAAAATGATGAGGCCCAGTCTTGGTAAAGTTACAAGCTCTTGGGGGTGTTTCACAAAGCTTTTAAGTCGAACTTAATTCTGAGTTGGACTTAAAAATTATGGAAAGCCGTTAACATCTTTGAAAATATTTTTTTAAATTCATTTTAAAAGGCATAAAATGTTGATTCATAATTTTCTATTATCAAGGAATTTTTATGTTCTTGATGTAGAATTTATGAAAAGTCGAAAATACTTGAATGTTTGCTTTTGAATAAATTATATTTTAAGGCTACAAATGGATCTCCATAATATTGAAGTCCAACTTAGAGTTAAGTTCGACTTAGGGTCTTTGTGAAATACCCCCCTGGACACATAAAGATGAATTTTAGACTACACGAACATGTGGCATAAAAATCTGTACCGATTTTTATGATGTTACATGTTATATTTAGAACATTAAGGCATTTGAAGAGCCATGCTTTTCAGGGAACATTTTTTATCTGATGTTCTTCCACACTTGCATAATACAATGATAACGCTCACAATTTTGTTTAACCTCTTCCTAGAACTCAACCTTCTCTTTAACTCAACAGTTTAGAATTGATGACACTTTTCTTGTATGTTTGTTGTTTTATCTTTGCCTAGTCTCACATGCCTTGGTGGCCCAAGATTGCTCAGCTCTACTGCTTCTCTGAGAACCTGAGAAGATTGTTTGAACACTATCGCAAATGCAACCAGAACCACAACACTGCAGTCAGGAACCCGGTAAGTCCCTTCAGAACTAAACTAGTCTTAGGGAGTGTTTCACAAAGACTAAGATCAACTTTAAGTTGGACTTAACTATGGCAGGCTGTTAATACCACTAATTGCTCTCACTATTGGTCTCTCAATTATGATCTTTAGATAATATTTTTTCCTACAATAATGAACTATCAAAAAATGTAAATCCTGTAGATTTCTGACCACGATTGGGATGTCCCTTGATAAACCAATGCCAATAATAATAAGAGAAAAAAGTGGTATGAACAGCTTACCATAGTTAAGTCCAACTTAAAGTCAATTTTATTCTTTGTGAAACTCTCTCCTGGGGATACAATCAACAGTGGTGGTGGATGTGAGGTTGCAAAGGCAAGAAGATGCAGATTGGGATGAGTAGAGTTTAATAAGCTGGCCTCGATCCTAGCTGCAAAAATAAAAGGCAAGATCTAAAAAGCTTGTGTTAGAACAGGGATGGTGTATGGTTCAGAAACGTTGAATGTGAAGACAGATGAAGAAAGTATCTTGGGGAGAACAGAAAGAGCCATTGGAGAAAAAGAGAGAAATTTTGAAAGGTGTCAGACGAGATCAAGCCAATGATATAAATATGTAGTATGTTCACTTCCAAAGAAAAATAAGCTCATAGGAGCAAAATATGGAGCACCCTGCCGGTGAACATTATATGATGTTTTTAGGAATCAAGGAAGCAGATGACATACTGACATGCATATTGTATCTTTGCCACATACATGTACATGTATGAAGATATTGAGATAGTGGGTAGCCATGCTCTATATAGCTCCTTAAACTGCTTAAAATTTTATACATATTCAAACTATTTGATATGGGCAGAAAAAGGATGACTAGATGCATCTATTATCTCTTATATATCAATTAAAGAATTTTGAACAGCTTGTATGGTCTGTATGACATGTTATTGTCAGAATTCCTCAACCACGTAAATGACCCACTTTGATTGACTTCCCTATCAAAAAATGAGTAACCACATTTGCTGATTTTTAAAAAAACACATACATTGCTCCATATGGAGGCATTTTATCTATGCTGTACATGATCTAATATTGTAAGTATGTATTTTATTTTATGTATTTTCAGATGTTTGGCATTTGTGAAGAAATAAATTGAATTGAATTGAATTGAATTGAATTGAATTGAATTGAAATTGAAATTGAAATTGAAATTGAAATTGAATTGAATTGAATTGAATTGAATTGAATTGAATTGAATTGAATTGAATTGAAATTGAAATAGAATTGTCTTTCCTATATTATTGTACCTGTTACAGCCAAGCTTGACAACACTGAAATCCAAGATGCCAGGATGGAAGTCAAGAGACAAGTCAAGTGAAGACTTCCCCAGCGCTGTCTTACTCTGGCTTGTCAAACTAGTCCATGCTGATCCAAAACTCATGCTGCATGTAAGTCATATGGTTAGACTGATAGATGGGTGGAGATTGGCAAAGGTAGACAGCAGCTTGCCAAAGGACTTTGGTTAGTGGTTATTTTACCTGACTGCTAAGAAAGTATAAATGCTTGTAAGTGAGCAACCAGACGGCCAACGGCTTTAGGTCCTCTCCGAGGGACGTGGTAATGAGGATTAATGCCTTACCAAAGGACACTAGCGCACGACTTGGCTTCGAACCTGGGTCACCAGATTAAGACATTACTGCTCTACCGACTGAGCTATTTAGTAATAGCTACCTTAAAACTTCATGATAACTGAAATTAAGAATGTTGGCTTTTAATTGTTTTTAGTGGTGTATGCTGAAATGAGGAGAAAACAATTGCCAGTTGATGATATTTCCTTTTTTGTGTTGCAAAGTTTTGTGACGACTGCAAAGTGCAAGAAATTCCTGTTGCAATGAATTTATCGAGACCATGACCTTACAAAACGTTTTGTTATAAGTGAAGTGTAAATTAATAGGATCCACCTTTGGATTAGTGGTAAATATCACTCCGAGAAACATTGATTTCCCTTTGAGAATGTGGGATATTGAAAGAGGATGGGGGAGTGAAAGAGAAGGAGCAAAGAAACAGAGGCAGGAACAAAATAGGGAGTCATGAGGCCAGATATTATACAATGAATCTGGTGGTGAGTTATACAGGATGATATTCCAGTATACCCGATATTCACAAGGCAATGAGCATAACGTGTCCATATCCACTAATATCCTTTGGCAAGACATTAATCTACATTTGATATACTCTACCCAGGTGAGGTAAATGGGTACCTGGTAGGAAGAAATTCCTTGAATGCTTGAGCACCTTTTAATGGTAGCTCGGTTATAGCCGGTGTAATAATATGATTGCAGAGCCCTCGGGAGAACAGTATGAATACTGATGAAGCTACCCTGGGTTAACAAGACATACATGTATTATTATTATTATAATTATTATAACCTCCTTCTACAGAGCCATGGATCAGCAGGACATGTCATCCAGAACAACACATACCAGCTGATCACAGGACTAGTAACTCTCATGTGCCAGTATTCAACCATTCCTGACATCTCAGTAGAAGCTATGAAAGCTCTCCTTACACTCCATCAACCTGGCAATGTAGAGCTATGGAACCCTGAGGCACCCATCGCAACGTTCTGGGACATTAGGTGAGTTGTCTCTCCTTTTTAATTATTCTAAACTTGTAGTAGAAGCTATGAAAGCTCTCCTTACACTCCATCAACCTGGCAACATTGAGCTCCGGAACCCTGAGGCACCCATCGCAATGTTCTGGGACATTAGGTGAGTTGTCTCTCCTTTTTAATTATTCTAAACTTGTAGTAGAAGCTATGAAAGCTCTCCTTACACTCCATCAACCTGGCAACATTGAGCTCCGGAACCCTGAGGCACCCATCGCAACGTTCTGGGACATTAGGTAAGTTGATTCTTAGTAAATGTTCCAGTAGAAGCCAGGAAGGGTCTTCTTACGCTCCATCAACCTGGCAACTTAAAGCTCTGGAACCCTGAAGCACGCATTGCAACGTTCTGGGACATTAGGTAAGTTGTCTCTCCTTTGTAACTTTTCTAAACCTGTAGTAGAAGCTATGAAAGCTCTCCTTACAGTCCATCAACCTGGCAATGTAGAGCTTTGGAACCCTGAAGCACCCATTGCAACATTCTGGGACTTTAGGTAAGATGTCTCTCCTTTGTAACTACACATATCTACATTAATATCAACCTCATTTGCCATCCGTCAATCAAGTTTTTGGTTCAAAGTAAATTTTTTTGTTGGTCATTGAATTCATATTTTGAAGTAGATGGGTGTCACCAAAGTATAATCATGCAACAATAACCAATACTATAACCTTCTGAAGAAGCTTTACACCAATGTGTTTATGTTGCTGATTGTCTTGTTGCAGCTCTTCAGTGTTGTTCTCAGTGGCCCAGAAGCTTCTCACCCAGCAGATAATCAACACCACTGAGGTTCTCAAGTGGCTCAGTGAGGTGCTCTCCTTGAGAAACAGATTCCTCAACAAATACAAGGACCATGCGACAGTAGATTCAAACATTCCAAGAACAAGAGAGGCACAGAACAAGCTAGAGGTATGTTATATTGAAATTGGTTAAATGGCAGGCAAGCAGTAAGGAGTTTGAATTTCACTTCAGACTAGTATTTTGGCATCACGATTCTAACCAATATCACTCTGATTTTCCTCGATCGGGAAGTAACTGGACTTAAGGAGGAAACATTCAATGGTTTTCTTTTATCAGGAGGGGGGGGGGGGGTCAAATACAGAGCAGCTTTGCCAAAGACCTGTTGAGTGTTTATAACAAGCTTCCATTGGTCTCTTACTGCTCATTGATTGTCATGCCCAGTCATGTTATCCCTTTATTTCATACTTTTTCCTTATTGTTTGTCAAGCCCACTGTCCTTCTTTGTACCAGCATCTCTGTCACCAACTCTCTTACTGATTCTCTCTCTGACGCCGTTTTTATTTTCTCATGATTAATATGTTTGTGTTTGTAAATGTACCTATGTTAATATGTCACTGTCTTTCCTTCTGTTTGTCTTGATAGTGTGTATTCATCATGAACCTGTGGAGCTGCGACCAGGAGGCTACATCCACTGCCCTGTCCTGCCTGGGCCAGCTGTGTGAGGAGGCAGAGATATGCTGTGGTACCGATGACTATGCCCTCACTCAGGTCGTACCAAACTATGGTGTCTACACAGAACTAGCGCGCCTCCCACAAATAGGACCACAGGGTAATGATGTGGTAGGGGGAAAATGGTGGAGAGGATGATGATGATAGTAATGGTGATGATGATGATGAAGATGGTGATGATGATGATGATGATGGTGGTGATGGTGGTGGTGATGATGATGATGATGATGATGATGATGGTGGTGGTGATGACGATTATAATGATGATGATGGGGATGATGATGATGATGATGATGATGATGATGATGATGATGATGATGATGGGGATGATCATGATGATGATAATAGTGATGATGATGATGATGATAATAATGATGATGATGATAATAATAATAGTGATGATGATGATGATGATAATAATGATGATGGGGATAAAGACGATAGTGATGATGACGATTATTATGATGACGACGCTGATGATGATGACGACGATGATGGTGATGATGATGATGATGGTGAAGATGATTAAGGTGATGATGACGAAGATTACGATGATGATGATGACGATGATTGCGATGATGATAACAATGATGATGGGGATGAAGACAATAGTGATGATGTTGATTAAAATAATGACAATGATTGCAATCATAATCACCATGGTGATGATATTATGACTAACTTTCACTCTCCTCTTTTTCCTCTCTTTTGCAGAAAAAGGAGCTCAGAGGAAAAGAATATTTGCATCTTTGAGGAAGATTGAGTATGTAACCGATGGCAACAGTCAGGTAATTTATGTTGGATGTTCTTTTGCTTGAAAAAAAATCACCAAATTCCTTTGTTTCTTCCGTCTTTAATGTTTAATATAAATATTTATTATAATTTCATATTGAAAAACTAATCACATATGTGCACCTTGGTTTAATCGTATAAAATTGTACACTGTAGAGCATCTGAAGTTTTAAACCAAAGTCAAATTTAACAGTAATTGTAGAGATGTCTGTAAATTCCATCATATACTATTAAAGTACATTGAGACAAGAGACTGAGATTGCAGAGGTTGAGTTCTGCCTGTAAAATAACAACAAGGAAGTCAAGTAATCTAGTTTGTCTCATCTTCAAATGAAGTTTATAATGGAATTGTACCTTTTTTGTTGATACAGTTATCGAGAATGAAAAAGTTCTCTAATCATTAACATATTGAGTTAGGTTTGTATTATGGTATTAACAAATCTAAAACCTAAAATGAATTTTTAAAATTCTTTTGACAGGCGTGGGATGAGACATATTCCCTTTGGGAGACCTCGACCAGATCCTTAGGATTGTACAAGGGTAAAGGAGAGGACAGTGCATCACTGGATAGTAAGAGGAACATGAGACGGGATGGGAAGGCATCACACATTGTGCCACAGCCAAGAGAACAAGAGTTTGATGTAAGCCATCCATTGGTCGTGTACCATCATTGTGTTCTCATTCAACAAAAACATGTTATGGTGACCGTGCCTTTTCATCGATAGCCCCCGCCCTCTGGAACAAACGTCCACCCCATTTTCAAAATGCCACATCCATTAAATCATCCAAAACCCTTCTCAAAACCCACGTTTTTAATCAGTTATAGTAAACTGGAGGGGCACACAAGTAATTAGTTCCATTCAACTGAATTGTATTGTATTAGTAATATTTTATTCTATTTTGTTCCTTTTAAGCTATTGAACATGTTGAATAATTATACTAAGTTAGATAGCACCACCTGTGCGCTTAGAAACGCCTGTATAAAGCACCCTATAAATGTAATTATTATTATTAATATAAGAGTGCTGACAATAGCATTGAATAGTGACAATTCATGAGTAAATCACATTTTTAAAATTCAGCCAGAAAAATACTTTTTGTATCTATTACATAATTGCTGGTTCCACATTACCATTTTTTGTGTGCATATTGCATTTATTGTCTAAAACCATAATTTTAAGATGGCTGCAATTTTTCTATTCAATGGGATAGCATTCATAGATATTGAGACTGGATTACATGAATCCCAATGAATAGTCATTGGTACACAAAACTTTCCAATTAATGTGCTGTATCATTTTTTATCGTGACAGTAAAACACAAACTTTGCAACATTGGCGTTGAAATTCATAGCTATGACTAAACCCAAAACATACACATAGTTACTCTTTAAAATGGCAAAAGGTTTATGTTTGAATTCTGATATAATGTGGTAGAAGTAGGAAAGCAATTATATGCTTCTTTGATGCGAATGCTACGATCATTTTGAACCATTTAAGGTTAAAGTTGTGTTCCTGACAACTTCTGGTTATTGTTACAGGAATGGAAGAACATGACTGGTTTCCTGTGTGCATCTGGTGGTATGTGTCTCAAGTCAAGGAACAGAAGACCAAGGTATGTATCTTCATTCTACTGTGTAAAGATATGATTCGAGAATGAAATTATTGAATTGTGAAAATTGTTGAACAAAAAGTACTGCTAACATTTACTCCTGTGGGGAGCATTCTAGCCATTAGGCATTTTCAAGGCAGGCAGAAGCAAATTCAATCACACTAACATTTGTATTAAGTTACTAGTTTGACATGTGAATGAAAAAGGCAATATTGATAGAATGCCTTTCTTATGGACAAAATTTCCCATTACCTCTACATCCAGAGAAAAATGTAAAATGATCAGAACTTTATTCTATGACAACTCTTTGATGATTTATAATTCAATAGGCATCATTTTTTTCACCGTTGCCATCTGTATTTTTTCTTAGGTTTGATTCACCATGTGAAGCTGGTCCAAGGCACATAGGAGCCCCAGTCCTCTCATCATCTCCAGTCACTGAGGAACCTACAGATCAACTCAAGAAGTGAGTCAAATTATTTGATTTTTGTTGTTGTATTGTTGTTGAATTTTCTCAGGCATGCCAAATGGTGTTCTTATAAGTTTCATTGCTCAAGAAAGAAGTGAATAAATTTCACCAAAGAAAGTACTTTGCATGCCAGTGTTTTTTAAGTCAGTCTGTGGTTCAAGCAGTGCTATTAGATTTCATTTACACAGCTGGAGAATGTGGGTAAACAAAAAGTGCACATAGGAAAACATGTGCTATGAAGTATTGCTTTCAATGATATCCCTTGCAACCTGGTTAAAAGTACAATTTCTTACAACAAGGTGTTTGATGTGTTTCATTTGTTTCATTTAAATGCATTTGAAGGTGATTCCCTGTATAAAAGCTTGGGCCCGGGTTTCCTACCGGTTTTGTTTGTTTAATTCAATCTAATGAGTTTTAACCCAATTCATACCTTTTTCTTTCTTCAGCTTCATGGCCAGTCTTCTGAGATTACTTGTGTGCAATAATGAGAAGCATGGTGCTAAGGTAAGCCATCTAAACACCTTACTTAGTTTCCCTTTTCTGTCCTCCGTCTACCTCCCATTGTGGTTAGACTCACTCTTTCCCTTTTCAGTTCAATCTGTACCTCTGCCTCTTTTTGTTTTGTTGGGCTTTGTGACTCATCTTCATCTGTCTCCTTGTGTTTCCTCACCTTGATGACATTTGTTTGTTTTTAAATACATTGCAATTAATGAATAATTGGCTGTCAGCCATCATATCAATGTCATGCATATGGAATATATATAGAGTACAAAAGCTGTGACATCATAAAAATCTATTTTTACAATTTCTCAATTTGAACTTCATTTTCCGAAAAAGCATGAAATATAATGTCCAAATGTCGAAAAACATTTGAATATGCTAAGTATTGGCTGAGATTTGACCATTCAAATAAATAGAGTTCAATAGGAAATCACTGTTATTTTGCCCTGGTTCATAACATTACAAACTGTTGAATGTATTTTTTTTTCTCACCTGTTTGGTCGTTTGTATGATGTCATGGTCTTCACACTTGATGGTAATCTTATCTACATCACTCAACCTCATATTTGTTATTATCCTTAATCTAGGCTAGAGACTGTGTGAAGGAGATGATAGGAGAGGAGCTTGATCCAGCGCTCTATCCTCAACTCTTCCAGCAGATCAAGGAATATGTGGATAAATTCTTTGACAGTAATGGGCAGGTTGAGACAACAGAGATAAATACATTGTTCATCAAGCATGTGATTCAGGTGCTACGTCAGGTCCTTGAGAATGGTCATGAAGAAGAAGAGGTGGCTGAACATCTAGGCATCGTCAGTATAGAGGGTCTTATACTCTCTATCACAAGGTATTACTGGATGGTAGTCATGTTAATGATAATGATGATGGTGATACTGGTGATCTTATTGCTGATGACTGTGATGATGATGATGATGAGGATTATGACAGTGATGATTGTGATAATGATGGTTATGATAACGGTGACAGGGATGACAATGGTAGTGATGGTGGTGATGATGATACACTGATATAAGTTATGTTTAATAATAATAATAATAATAATAGTGGGTTCTTGTATAGCGCTCATGTTTGTCAGACTTGACACTCCTGGCGCTCCCGATTAGGAGGATGATTGCAATGAGGATTGTGATGATGATTACAATGAGGATTGTGAGGATGATTACAATGAGGATTGTGATGATGATTACAATGAGGATTGTGATGATGATTACAATGAGGATTGTGATGATGATGTTAATGAGGAGGGAGAGGAAGCTAAAAGGGAGAGAGTGGGTGAGGAGGGGAAGGGGGAAGGGGATTGGTCATGATTGGATGTGGTTATTCTAAAATTGAATCTTATTTGATAATGGTAGTACTGTTATATCGAGGTGATTTCACTTTGATTAAAATAGTTAGTGTGAAAATTTGATTTATAACATTCTTTAACCCAGAGTTTTCAAAATAGATTAATATATCTTTGTCATCATGCAGGTATGTGAGGAGACTAGACCCAAGCACTGCCAATGAGAATGTAGTACAGATCAAAGTCCAGCTATGCAAGCTTCTGTCCATGGTGAGTATATATGTATATACCTAGATAGCATTTTAAATTCTTTTTTATTGACTGGATGGCCACATATTTTTATTGAATTATTCTATGCAAATCACATTTCAACTGTCATTACAAAGAAGACTGTATTCATGGGCTTTGTGATTTATGGTCATATCAATTCCATCCAGGTGCACTCTCCAGGCTATTGTACTCACAGATTTATTTTATCTGACAAACTTGATGAATTATTCATGATGACAAGAATATGATGTAGATACCATCAAATGATTTTGTAAATTTCTTTGATTGTCTTTAATAGATGATGAAGAGGAGAGATTGTTTATCCTTCAGGCAAGAGATCCGTTTTAGGAACAAGCTTGTAGACTATCTCTCTGATTGGATCTTAGGCTTCTCAAATGATGGTGCCACAGATGAAATCAAGTCACTCACAAGGTAGGTGTCTTCCGTTTGTAGATCCGTTTATGGTACTGGGACTATGCAGATAGTGACAAAACTATTCAAGGATTTTCATATTAAGTAGATTTGTAATTAATTCTTTGAATGGATGTCAATTTTGCTTAATACGGATTATCGTCTCTAAGTGCTTTACAGATATTTTTATCCAGGTCATTGGATTCAATTATGTACAATGTGCACCATCTCTACTACCTGGGGAGTATTCCTACCATATGGTCACTGTGCGGGTATAGGCAATTACTTACACAAATGCTTTCATCATCCTACCGGGTCCCCATTTTTCTCTTGGGTAGTGAGTGGCAAATGTAGATGAATGCCTTTATTACAATAGCAATCAATCAGGAATGAACATGATTTGATATTTTTTGATGTTTGCAGAGAACTTGATGAAGCTAGCATGGAGGCCATGGCGGCTTTATTAGTAGCACTCCCTCTACAGCCAGAAGAAGGAGATGCCGGTGATATCATGGAAGCCAAATCAAAACTATTTCTGAAGTAAGTTTAAAGTCTAATTTGAAAGTGATTCCCTTTTGCCAGATCAATTAATAATAAAATCCAATATATGCGAACTTGTTTTAACTCATGAACTTGACATTTTATGTATCACAGAGGTTATTTTAGCGCTTAGAGACTTCAGAGGAAAGGGCTTTATGAGCACCATTTTATTATTATTATAATTTTTATAACACATACTTTTAATACATAACATTAGTAGCTTGTCTGAGATGTATGTGTTTGTTAGGTCAGTGTATCAGAAACAGTTTAGTACTTTCAATGCAATTGCCTGTTTTACTGAAATTCATTTCACATGGTTGCCTACAAATGTTCACAGTTGTAGGGCTGTATGAAATCAAACTGTAGAAAATTATATACTCTCTGATACCACACACTTTTGCATCCATGCATATTTGATTTTCGAAAATCCCTGAGTGGTCAAGATTCACAAAAGTTTCATGCCATTTACTATCTGAAACAAAACACTGATTTGTTGAACAATTTGTGATTATTTTTTTTTAAACAGTACTTCTCTCATAATCCTGATAACTGTAGAGAGTCATATTGTATGGATATTATTTGGACAGTGATACTTTGCATTGTATATCGATAAGGGGCACCAAATCATTTTTATCTGCTAATAGCCATTATGATAACAATTACGGTTCCATTTCTTTGCCAGATATTTCACATTATTCATGAAGCTACTGAATGATGTGATGGATAAGGGTTTCAAACATGTTGGTTTATTGAGTCATAGCTATAATAATGTTCAACACCTTTTCTTTCTATCCTTGGCAGATATTTCACATTATTCATGAAGCTGCTGAATGATGTGATGGATCGAGAGGAAGAGAAGAGCGTTGAATCAACAAGGTCTCCTACTGAGACTAACAATCAATCATCACTCAGGAAATGTACTATACAAGCTATGTCCAATCTGCTCAGTGCCAACATAGACAGTGGTCTTAGACATTCCATAGGTAAACCCATCCACCTTTCTCATCATTTTAATATCCATGTAAGGTTGAAATATGTACATTTACTGTCTTCTCGATTTTCCTGTAATGCTGTTTTCTCTCTTGTTCTTTTTTTCTATCTGTGCGTAGATTTTAAACTGTTGTGTTTATCAATTCTTCTGTGAGTGATGACGACTTGCAGTGCTTTAGATAGAGAGCAAAGGCTTTTAAACTCAGAATGTTCACCTCAAATTTGTTTTTAAAGTCTTCTTTACTTAGTGATCATGATGGTTATGGATGTTGGAAGGAGGAGTAGGGGTAGAAGGAGGATACTTTGGATGGACAGTCTGCAGAAATTGTTGGAAGAGAGAAGAGTGAAAGAACTGGGAGTGGTGGTAATAGCGATGGGTAGGAATCGAGGGTTGTGAAACAGCATGATCGCCAAAGTCAATCGATATGGCACTTAGAGAGAGAGATGGATGTTGTATGACTACAAATATTCAATGTGTTTCATTTGTGAGATTGAAAACTACTGTGATGAAATATGCAGTTGTCTTACCTGTCTGCAACTCACTCGCAAACATAATATACAACATATTTGTACATTAATTTCTGTGTACCGGTACTTGTACAATATGTGCTTTCCATATATCTACTGCATCCTCTTTCCATTGTATGTTCCCTTAGAACTGGGCTATCACCCTGATGTCCAGACGAGGGCAGCATTCATCGAAGTCCTGACCAAGATACTCCAGCAAGGGACAGAGTTTGATACCCTAGCTGAGACTGTTCTAGCTGATCGGTTTGAGAGGCTAGTGGGTCTCATGACCATGCTGGGTGACAAGGGGGAACTCCCCATCGCCATGGCCCTGGCTAATGTCATTGCTTCATCACAGATGGTAATGTTCTATCTTCCCCACACAAAAATTAGTTTAAAAAAACTCACTTTAGATATCAGATTATTATTGATAACTAGCAGTACTTGTAAGAAGAGTCCCACATTTAAATGGTTTGATGCTGCTCAGATGATTTTGTAAGTCTTTATTGTAATATTTCTTTCTGCTTCTTTAAAAAAAAAGTTAAATAATAAAACATCTCTATGACATTAAACTAAAGAACTTTATCGAGCGCACAATTTTGGAATGTTTAGATGTATACTTGTATTGGAGAAAGGTAAGATTGCATGGTGAAGAAAGGGACTGGATCTTCTCCCTTTAACATTTATTGACATGTCGGACAGGTACATGTATGTGGCAGTGGCTGGAAGAAATAGGGATGAAAATCATCCTTAATGATCAGATTCATACTTTCTTCTGTCCTCAGTTGATGAGAGTTTATCTAATCCGTTTTCAAACTGTTTACAATCAAACCTGCTTTAGCGACCCCTGTCTACAAAGGCCACATTCTTTTTGCCCTTGAAACTATAGGCACCTGTACATAAAGACCACCTGCCTTTAGAGACCACTTTTCTTGTCTCCCTTAGGTCTTTTTAGACAAGTTTCACTGTATTAAGATCCCATGTTAAAGAGCTACCTTTATCTATTTGTAGGATGAGCTAGCCAGGGTTTATGTGACTCTGTTTGATGCTAAACACTTGTTAAAGAGCTACCTTTATCTATTCATAGGATGAGCTAGCCAGGGTTTATGTGACTCTGTTTGATGCTAAACACTTGTTAAAGAGCTACCTTTATCTATTCATAGGATGAGCTAGCCAGGGTTTATGTGACTCTGTTTGATGCTAAACACTTGTTAAAGAGCTACCTTTATCTATTCATAGGATGAGCTAGCCAGGGTTTATGTGACTCTGTTTGATGCTAAACACTTGCTCTACCAGCTTCTCTGGAATATGTTCTCAAAAGAGGTAAAGGTATATACTTGATGTTGAATGGAACTAACTCAGGTTGAGTATTACATGTTCAATGTGCATGAATGTTGGGTAACTAGAGGAGCCCTTAGGGAGGAGGGGGACGGTGAAGGGGGAGAGGGGGAGGGGCATTTCATGATAGCATAAGAATTGAGCAAGGAATATGGCATTTATAGAGACTGCTCTCCTCTAGATTTCTCCTAGTAGCCATTTATGAATCTCAACACATTTGATGTAACTCAAATTCTATGTTTCTGATATACATGTTCATTTTCCTACATCCAATACCTCTTTCAAAACCCACCAAAAAAAAAAGACAAAACCTAACTAATTTGACTGAAGGGTAGGTTTCCTGGAGGTTATTAATAGCATTGAGTGAATGAAGGGAACCTGTACTTGTATTTGATAGTGATTGTATTGTGTATATATGTGCGTTGTTAAGGTTGTAGAGCATAATAGCTGGAGGGGGGGGGGGGGGGGTAAGGCCTACAATCAAATAGATTGCAACAGTTGTACCTAGATTGCATGCAAATGTGAATACTTGTGTAGTGTTTGTTTTGAAGAGAAATTATCAAGAAGTGAATATGACATTTGGATTTCACTTTTGATATTTTCTTTTAAATAATTACTCAGTGAAATCAGACGAAGACATTTCTCATCCCACTTCTTGATAATACCTCTGACAATCCAACCTACTTCTGAGCACATTTAATGATACATAACTCACCCACCATCGTGCAGGTTGAGCTAGCAGACTGCATGCAGACCTTATTCCGAGGCAACAGCCTAGCGTCCAAGATCATGGCGGCTTGCTTCAAGATGTACGGTCAGAACTACCTCAAGCTTCTACTGCATCCCTTGGTCCAGGAGATGATGACCGGTCCAACCAGTCACGTCCGCTACGAGGTCGACACCGCTCGTATGGAAGCTCATGAAGAGGAGAACCTTCCTGAGTACCAGGCGAGCCTCATGCAACTGGCCAAGAAGTTCTTCAAGGCCATTATAAATTCTGTTGATCAGTAAGTGTGGAGTTGAGGAAACTTGAAATATTAAAACAATGAAAAGATATACGCATCTTTTCAGAGCGTGAAAGGTATTAACACTATTATGTGAGTTACTTCGCATCAGGCCTCAATCATATGAAATATTAGAACCTTATGAAAACGTCTGACTTACTCAAAGGATTAACCCAGATGAATTAAATGATTTCTGGTAGGAAGACATTCATTGACTATCATGATGCCTTTTTAGGGCAGCAGAGCTATAACCATTTTGGCAGAACATTTCTATAGAGATATATGATATAATGATGCAAGAACAGAATAATGTTGTTTTGTTTTTATTTGAGGAATCACTGTTCTATACTTCTATAAACAAGTGGGAAGATATATTCTGCAACCTCTAACACATCTCTGATTTCAGTCATTCAAATGATTGAGTTTCTACAATCAAACCTGCTTTAGTGACCACCTGTCTACAAAGACCACGTCTTGTGTTTCCCTTGGGCAGTAGCTATAGACAGATTTGACTGTAGTAGCTTTGATTTCTAAAATTCTTGTCAGACCATTATAAGATTACCTTACAGTATTATTAAAAACTACAAGTTGTGTCCCATACCTGTGTAACAGTAATTTTGACTGATCATGTTATCATCCTTCAATAGGTTTCCACCACAGCTGCGTAGTGTATGCCATTGCCTGAATGAAGTCGTAGCTCAGAGGTTTCCAATGAACTCCTTGGGAGCTGTGGGAAGTGCAATATTCCTCAGGTTCATCAATCCAGCCATTGGTACGTTACCCTGTCCTGGGGGTTGTTTCATAAAGCTGAGCGTAAAGTTACGAATGACTTAACAAATTATTTGAATATGAAGAGCCAAACGGGATGCCCAAAGTTTTTCCTGACATTTTCACAAAGTGTGACTGTATTTCCCATAATCTCAATTAAATTGTAGCCCAAAATACACTTTGCATTAAAATGTTTTGTTAATAATCATAAGGTTAATCTACATCTGCATATTTGAACTTTAGCTTATGCAATTAAAAGGATTTGAGAATTCCATTAAGCTCTTCATATTCAAGTCATTAGTAAAGTCATGCGCAACCTTACACACAGCTTTATGAAACTTGTCCTGTTCGCTTTGTGTGTACCTGTCTGGGTATAGGAAGATAAAGATTTATAAGTATGATCTATTTAATAACAGATTCATCTTTTGTTAAAGTTGATACTCTAAGACAATCCCAAATACTGAGATAATTACATAAATAGAAAGCTTTTAACCTCCATAATAACATCAAATGGTGTCCACCCGACAAAACAAGTTTAGAATAATGAATTTATTCGAGTAAACTCTACCAAAATATCTAAGTCTGAAACCCGGAAGTGCACGTAGAGTCGGGCCTCTATCCGTGACGTCACGAACGGGAGTCATGGGCTCAGTGAGAGTGAATGGCAGTGATATCCCTACGTAAATGCTATCCTGTCAGAGCTTAGATTTGTTGTTGTTACGGAGTATATTTGATGGATTTTCTGTTTTCATTTGAATGAAGAATAACGAAGCAACATTTTCCAGTCGCTGATTTTTTTTTATATCCTCATATTCACCTATTTGGTAGAGATTTAAGACGAGTTTACTGCTTAGGAATTAAAGTTAAATCGTGCACTTATGAATAGGCGGATGCATTATATTGTCATCAGATGTACATGAGCAGTTTTGTAAAACGAATATGTCTAGAACTATGATAGTACTTATCATAGATGTGTGTGACTGCCTCAAAAAGGATACAGTACCAGTTAAACATTTTATGTTGTAAAATATCAAACTTGAACGAGATCATGCAAGCGCGCTTCCTCTATAATATTTTGGCGAGTGATGCGGCTCTTGCATGAACGTTCGTGGAGCGAGCAGAATCGGGAGGTAAGACCAAGCCGCTGCTCTAGGCGCTGCTTGCTTGTGATGGAACGTACGTGCGCTAGTTATATGTTTATCGGCAATTGCAAGAGAATGAAAGCGACGTTGCCAGCTAAGAAAAACAACTAACAAAGACTTGCTCCTGACAACCGGTGTCAGAATTGGTAGATGAAGGATGTTCAGGGCCAAGGAAGGCGAAAGACATGGGAAAAAGGAAGAAGAAACCATCGGGAGATCGCTGTAGTGTATGGTAATGAACTGTGCATGGGTAGACAGCTACTGTTTACTCCGTGCCTGGGCCGATTTCAACACCAAAACAAAAATTACATTGTGAAAATATCGACTAATAGCACATCGTTGGCATGTATATGTCATAATTTTTAAAAGGGGAATTGATATTAATACTATGAAGTACTAGGGGAAGGTAAAGAATTGTACATAGAATTATGATTTATTAGACTTTTCAGCCTTTGAAACAAAAATATGCAGAAAATCGTATCACTCTGCACATGTTTGCTATGGAACATCCGGGTACGTGAATATACTCTCTCCCGGACGTGAGGTCATAAAAAGTAGACCAGCGTCGTGACTGATTTTCTATGCAAAGAGAGGCGGATATTTTAGACATTTCAATTGAGGATTTCGAGTAGACAGAATTTTTTGTGATATACTAAGTAATTGAAAAACTTAAAAATAACATATACTTGCCGTAGGTAACAAATTAAGGGACATTTATTTGCTTAGAGTATCAACTTTAAGCAGGTGTTTGATAAGATGTATTTTATGCTTGAAATCTGATAATCCAACGTTTGCTCAAGGGTTTGATTCATCAAAGCAATGAGGTAAGGGTAAACGTTGCAATGGTTAGGGTTAGGTGTAGTGTCCAAGAATTTGAATTACATGTATGTCAGAATTTCACCGAGCAAATGTCATCAGAGCATGGGGGTGTTTCATAAAGCCTTCTTTCAATGACAAATGACAAAAATCAGTGACAAATCTGCTGATAACCAATCAGAAGCAAGGATTTCACTTGCTTATAACAAGAACTGTCATTTGTCACTGATGACAAGTTTTGTGAAACATCCTCCATGTGTCACACTTTCATACAGTCCATACATTTTGTTTGAATGTTGTATAACTTGTTTTGATTTATATTTTTGTTTGTATTGTTCATTCCCCAGTATCTCCCTATGAGCATGGGATTGTAAACATGAAGCCATCGTTGAAGGTCCAGAGAGGTCTGAAGCTGGTCTCTAAGATCATGCAGAATGTTGCCAATCAGGTCCAGTTCAAGGAACAGCATATGATGCACTTCAACAAGTTTCTCAGTGAGAACGCTGGTAGGGCGATCAGGTAAGCTGTGATCCACTGCAACAATGCTTTTAGTTATTCAGAGTTCATCAACAATTATGAGAAGTGCATGTAGAATGTAACAAATAGTTTAATGTGGGCAGGTAAATAGGCCCATGAGATAGACAAAGCCTGCAATAAATATAGTTACTGCAATAACTTGTGGTGTTTGTCGCTGATGCTGCTGCTGCTGCTGCTGTTTTCATTGTTGATGTTGTTAATGTTGATTTGTCATGGCCTGGGATGGGAAAAGGGACCTTATTCAATGTGACCCTCGGTCTCTCTTGAGGGGTAATGAGACCAACATTTTCGATCTTGTGGGCTATTATTTCTCTACAGTGTTCCCAAGCAGGACAAATCAACAACTATTTGTTTTCATGTTTAATCATTTTGTTCTCCTACAGATTCTTTCAGGACATAGCTTCTGACTGTCACACCATTGAGAATGTAAGCAACACCCCTTCCTACATCTCTGATGCCAACGTTCTTGCCCTTCATAGATTACTATGGAATCATCAAGAGAAGATGGGTGCATTCCTCTCCAGTAGCAGGTAAGAATCCGTTAAGAAATCACTTAAGACTCTTAAGACTTTTAATCTCTAAACAAGAACTAAACTATCAAAATGTCGTTCTAACATCTTTGTGTCAATAATTACAGATGTATTTATTTCATTAGTGTATGTTTAGTCATTTTAAGTTGCATACATGAAAGAACGAAATAAAGAAAGAAATTGTTTTAATTCCTTTAATAAGATCATTACTCTCTTTGCTTACACTTGCATTTGCCCTTCTAAACATACTAGATTTCAGATAAAGTGTTTTGTGGTTGTGCCTGATATTTTGTACATCATTATAATTTCCTTGTTTTATGCAGAGATCATAAAGCAGCAGGACAAAGACTTTTTTATAAAATAATTGCTCTCTTGCCGTACACTTAAATTTATCCTCCTGGACATACCAAATTTTTGGAGAGAAAGTGTTTAATGATGGTCCTGATATATGTTGTAATCCATATTCATTTTCCTTTGATTGTTACATGCAGAGATCATCGAGCAGTGGGACGGAGACCGTTTGATAAGATGATCACCCTCCTGGCTTACATTGGTCCTCCAGAACATTCCAGACTGGTCCTTGACTCACAGTAAGTCTGTCATCAGGGCCCCATTTCACAAAACTTGTCATCAGTGACAAATGACTGTTTTTGTTATAAGCTACTGAAATCCTTGCTTTTGATTGGTTATCCGCAGATTTGTCACTGATTTTCGTCATTTGTCATTGAAAAAACGCTTTGTGAAACAGGCCCATGAAGGATAACATTGTAACAATGGATGTTACAAGTAGAGTTGAAAAGGACAAAATGAAAATTTTTCAGAGCTTACACTGGAATAGAGAAAGATTTGATAAAGATGTGGTGGAAGACAGAGCATTACATAGCCACTCTATTTCATATCCAATGTAATACCTTGTAGGTACTCACTGATTTATATTATAAATTTTAAGAAGGAAGGGCTTCATAATAAATTGTAATAGCTGAAGCAATCTGAGCCAATCATATGTCTATACCAATGTACTCCATCTCAAAACTGTAACTGTCATATGTTTAATTATCAGTTTTGGGAGCATGGACCTGACAAGTAGCAGCTTTGAGGAGATGATGGCAAGAAGGAACATCTTCAACGAGGAAGACTTTAAGCGTCTTAAATCTCTCAACATCTTCTATCAAGATGGCATCTCAAGAGCAGGCAATCCGGTCTTCTACTATGTAGCAAGGAAATACAAGTGAGTACTGTAAAAGTAGAAATATTTGCAGTACATTTATTTTCGCGGATTTTGCGCTAAATCGGCAAGCGCAAATTTTAGAACTCGCAAAAAATATAAGCAAGACTTCTTATGTGTGTTATAAACGGGCTGAGGGTCGCTCAACGCAAAAGTAACAGTGTTTACAGTACTCAATCTTATCATTTGAGCAAAGTATACCTTTTCTCTTCCCTCCCTCTCTCTTTCTCTTGTTCTCATGCCCTCACTCACTCTGTCTTTCTTGCCCTCCATATACATGTACATGTTTTTTGCTCTCTGTCTCTCTCACTCTATCTCTCTCTCTCTCTCTCTCTCTCCCCCCTCTCTCTCTCTCTCTTTCTCTCACTCCCTCACAAATAAATAGTTTGCAGGTTGTATATTTGCTTTATATGTAGGATATTTATATCAAACCATGTTGAATTCTCTTAACTTCTGACAATTCTGCATTGTTTTTCTTTTCTCATCAATGCAGGTGTTCTGAGATAGACTTTGAGCAGCTCATGTATCATATCCTCCTCACTCTCAAGCCGTTTGATAAGAATCCATTTGAGGTCGTTCTGGATTGCACCAACTTTGGTCCTGACAACCGCTTCAAGGTACGTCATGGATTGAGATTAATCATAATGATCGTAATATCAAGTTCTTGTATAGAGCTCATGTCTGACATGATGCCACACCTGGTGCTCCATTATTAGTAAGCGGCTTTACCAAGGCAGCCATTACTGATTACAGCGCTCAAGCATCTTACCTTGTTAACTTATAATTATCCCAATCCCATAGACTTAACAAAGGAACCACTCCGTTCCAGGATGCAATGGGTTCAGAAAGAGTATCATGAAAATAAAGCATGTTCACATATTCCATGCTAAACTAATACATTTTTATATTTTTTTTTTTTAAATAATTGTTTGTACTAAATGAATGGCAAGTGGGGATTAAAAAAGCTGCATTCATATGAAGAAAATTCATTGAGGACTTTAAAAACATACATGTGCATTTAAGACATACATGTACAATGACTGCACATGAGAACTGCATAAAGATTGGTGTTAGTGTTCATATGGAGGTGATTGTATTGAAAGAACAGGGTTATTCCATATTTCTCATCAAGATTTTATTAATTTTTGTGTCATTTTAGTATCATACAAAGGTTTAATAATTGATATCTTGCTCGTCTCTCCAGCCTCAAGTGCTCTCCCGTGGTGTGCGTTTCCCAGAGCATGTCACTCAGAACCTGTCTGCTGTATATGTCTACAACTGTAACTCAAGACTCAAGGAATACATCAAGAGAAATGAAAGGGTCTTCGTCCTCCTCAAGGTAAATGTTTACTATATAATAATAATAATAATAATAGGCATTTCTATAGCGCCGTCTATCTAGAAATTCTATTCCGGGGCGCATTTATTATTACCCCGGCTTTAGCTTAGCTGCCATTACAGCGCTCCAGCATTTCAATGAATTAATTTCTGCCAGGCACCCATTTACATCACCTGGGTTGAGTGTGGCAAACGTAGATCAATGTCTTGCCAAAGGACATTCGATCCACTCGACCACGACACCTCTACATGGTAACAACAAATTGAAATTGGCTACATTTGTTTTGTCTATATATCCATCCCAGGGGATGCTCAAGGTGCCTTATTACCCTGGCTTCAGTTCAGCTGGAAGCATTCAAGATATTTTTCATTTAATATCAGATGATTTTATCCATATGATTATGTGTTTGAGACAGTTATCACTAAGTCCTATTATCAGTAATAGCACTGAAAACATTATGTTCACACTCATCCTGCCTTTGGTTAAAATCAGAAGATTTAGAATCAACTGGTGTTATAATATCTTTGTGATATACTGAAGTTGAATGTAATATTTAATCTGATTTTTTTCAGTAACTGACTATACAGATTATTTCATACAATGCATTATTAAAACTGTCATATTATTGTATTTTCATAGGGTACTCGTCGGATCATTTTCATTGAGTCAGTAGCTAAGCTGGGTGAATACATAGAGCCTGATCAACAGAGGTTACACAAAGCTACACTAGGATTGGATGAAGATCTGAAAGTATTCAACAATGCTCTCAAACTATCAGACTCACATAAGGATATCAAAGTAGCCATCAAGGTAAGGAGAAGACAATGTTTGGTCTTGTTTTTATATATTAGCAGTGCATGATTATCCCCTTTGTTATGGATCAGTTTATACAAGCCTTCTGTTGAGAGGTAGAAAGATGTTAACCCTTTGCAAATTTGACTCCAAGCAGATGATACAAGCATACAGGTGGATGACAGATGTGAGTTGGCTGTGGAATAATAATAATAATGAATCATTGATAAAGCATTCACATCAACTTGATGAGGCTACATGACATGCACTTTGCCATGAAGGTCTTTTACAACATTGTTTTAGCCTCTAAGAAAAGAATTGACTGTATTTATAATGATGATCTATTTGTTTTATCAGGTTGGATCCAGTGCAATCCATGTGACATGTATGGAGAAGACGAAGATCCTTGTCCAGCCTGTCTTACTCAATGACATCTATCTAGCTTCAGAGATTGATGAGGTAAGCACTATACAATGCTAATGGATTTCTTGCAGTAAAAAGCGAGTTGATAAAGCAGCATGATAAATTCTACTTGTGCTATATGATTTTACAATTGTAAATTTCATCATGACCTTTGTATAGTTATCTGTATACTACAATTCCAAAACCTCATCTTCACCTTTAAACAAGAAAAGTGTTGAAATTAATTGATGAATCAGGTACCCTTGTTGATTTGTATGGACAAATGAATGTAACTTATCCTGTGGTCTCTATTCTTTCAATCAATGTATTGATAGGTTGCTTTGGTGGATGAGAACCAGTTCACAGTGACGCTGCAAGAAGGTCGTCTTTTATCCTTCATGCATCAGGAGTGTGAAGAGGTCGCTAAAGCCATCCAGCATATCAGAACAAGATGGGAGAGATCACAACCAGTAAGACGAGAATTCAGTTCATGCAGAATGAATGAAATAATATATTATCTATTACTGTACAATATTAGATATCATTATATGTCGAAAGGGACAGCTGCGCCTCAGCAAACATTAGTTATGAAGTAGAATTATCACAACCAGTAAGACGAGAAATCACTTCATGCAGAATGAATGAATGAAATAATATATTATCTATTACTGTACAATATTAGATATCATTATATGTCGAAAGGGACAGATGCGCTTCAGCAAACATTAGTTATGAAGTAGAATTATCCCATTGGTATCTTTTATTTATCAAATGTGAAAAGTTAAAGTACTCATTTACGTAATTTTTTTATACAAGTTCACTCTGCATTGATGCTACACAAATGTACTCTATAATTCTGTATATTAACCTACGGAGCATTAATCCTGAAAGAACTCTGGTTTGATTCTATTGAAAATGTGCGTTTTCTCCTAATCAAATAATGTTCAACATGAAATATAAACTATTCAGACACAAACAAAACACATGTATATTTAAATACCCATGCAACAAGATTGTGAAAGCTTGGATGATGTCATCACTTTAGAAATATTATTTGAAGACACCATTGTGGTTTCTTGTATGTGACGAACATTCTTTGTTACATTTTGTCATTCTTACAGCAAGAGACAGTAGCAGTACATTCCAAGATCAAACCCATGGATGTTCCTGGCACCCTCCTCAATATGGTATGTCAACAGTATTTCAATTTTAGAAACGGTCAAACCTCATAAATTGTACATGGACTTTTATAAACAGTAATACCCTGTTCTCAAATCTGATTGATTGTTGTCATGCTTATTTTTGTATAATCTTGTGTTTATGTGTAGTCATTTAAACTTTATAGACATGGGCTTAGTGTTATCAGTCATAGGGGGTTTAGAATGATTTTACTTTTATGATCTTAGTTTGGACATGAGCAAAGTCATATTGTTTGCATTGTGTAAAAAATGAATTTCGGGAAAAAGCATTTTGTTGTTAAGAGCCAAAATACTTTCTGAGAAGTCTTATTTAAAGAAGTAATTTCTTTTCCATATTACCTTATTAATATTTTGTCATCATGTTTACGTATAGGCCTTACTGAACCTCGGTAGCAATGACCCCTGTCTGAGGTCAGCTGCCTACAACCTGCTGTGTGCTCTGACGGCAACCTTTAACCTCAAGATCGAAGGTCAGCTGCTAGAGACGTCTGGTCTATGCATCCCTGCAAACAACACCATCTTCATTGTGTCTATCAGTAAGACACTGGCTGCTAATGAACCTCATCTCACACTAGAGGTAGGTCTAAACTCCGTCCAGATTACATGTTGCATTTAGAAATACTAATTGTCATCTTGTTTTCCAATTTTTGAGCCCTCCAAAGGCTATTTATTAATAATCTTCACACAAACAAACAAATCAAATATATCTCCATTTTTAAACAAATGCAAAATAATCTTTCTACACAAACAACAATTGTACTTGTAGCAACTGCCACTTTACAGCAAAATGTCTTTCCATTCCAGATAGACATACAATATATTTTTCATCTTTATAATATTGTTAAACTTTCTTTTTCAACATATCAAAAAGCGGAACAAATACAAATTATGCCTTGAAATGTTGAATATTTGTTATGCTGCAAGTCTCTCTCGTAGTCTTCTCTGCCATGAACATATCAGTTATAAGGCTCTCTGAAGCAGTTGTTAGCAGTATGACAGTGAAATTTCAGGTGTTGGTATTCATATTGTTTAAGTGTCATATTCAAGGGTTCTCGACTACAGGATCATATTAAAAGTATGTTTGAGTCCATTTTATTCAGAGAATGATGAATGACTGTTTACCCCGGCCCCCCCACTCAGAGGTCGGAATGACCGCATGCGTGTTGCCAAAATGTCCGGTAAAGGGGTTCTTGCGACAAAGTCCGGCCCGAGAATTGTAAAAAAAGGGGTGTATTTGACTTTTCACCCGGAGATTTCTTTAAAAAGGGGGCGTTTTTTCTTTTTTTCTCTCATCTCTTTGGACTCCTGAGAAATTATTCTGAATTTAGGGGGGTACATTGAGCATTTTTCCTGATTTAGGGGGGTCTCCAAGGCAGGAAAAGCCTGCGAATTGCCCGCGAAAGGGGAGTTCGGAAATATTGGCAGTCCTCAGATAGGGGGTGCTTTCAAAAAGAGGGAATGAGCATATGCGTACCCTAAATTACATTGAGTGGGGGGGGGGGCCGGGCTGTTTACAAGACGAATGATTTTAAAAGAAAGCTCTGACATGTTCCTATTTCTTATTTTATGTATTCCTGTACGTACATATACATGTATGGATCTTTGATCATTACATTGTTATTCTATTTGTTACAGTTCTTGCAAGAGTGCATCACAGGATTCAGTAAGATCAGCATAGAACTGAAGCATCTGTGTCTGGAATACATGACACCATGGCTACCAAACCTTACAAGGTAAAGCTCTATTCTGTAGGTTGAAGTTTATGTGTAGTAGCCAAGAAGTGTGCTCATTGGAGGGAGGCTAGCTTTTCAAGGCATTTCACAAAGCCTTTTTTCAATGACAAATGACAAAAGTCAGTAACAAATCTGCTAATAACCAATCAGAAGCAAGAATTTCAGTAGCTTATTACAAAAAAAAACGTCATTTGTCATTGATGACAAGTTTTGAGAGACGCCCTCCAGGAAAAGCATTGCAAGATGGAAATTTTACAAGAGATCTTCCTATTTCAATGATATTTTTCAAACATGTAAATGTATTTTTATAATGGCCATGTTGATATAATAAAGAAAAGACAATTGTGAAAAATCCCCTCTGGTAAGATTTATGGTATTTGTGACATAGAGAGTATCATGAAATATTTATGAGATTAGAATTATACACATGTGAGGATCAGTAGGCAATGTAATACCTCTTCATTTATCTTTAATACTTGGAATACTTCGAAGCATGTTGCAGGGATGCCAGTTTTCAGGCAATAGCCTGAACTCTGGCCCTGGCAAGTTATTTTCAGACCATAGTTTAGGCTTTTTGGGGTACAAAGTAGCACATTCAGGCCCTCTGATCAATTCTACCTGGAATCCCTGATGTTGATTATCGTGTCCTTTGCACTTTTCTTCTTCCAGATTCAGCAAGAGATCTGATGAGTCTAAGAGATACAAACTGACTGTTGTCCTAGACAAGCTGATCCATATGACTATCACAGAGAAGCAGATGTATCCATCTATCCAAGCCAAGGTTTGGGGAAACATCGGCCAGGTTGAAGATCTCATTGATTGCGTCCTGGATAGTTTCATCAAGGTAAGTACATGATTGTACATCAATTAATATACACAGTGTGTGTGTAAATGGGTTTTTACAGACGTGTATCAATCAGATATGATTATTTACATCTGGGGACCGACCTTTAACGTCACCATCCGAAAGACGTGACTCAGTTTTGAGCTTGCGTCCTCGGCTGAATCAGTTTGTAACTTCCATTTTTAGCTGGATTACAGGCGCACGCCACAACGCCCCGTTAACAGTTGGTTAACAGTTTATTTTTATATGTACCTGACTGCTAAGAAAGCAGCATTACCTTAGTCAAATGGACTCCACACCAGCCGATTTTTGGATACTAGTGGTAATGCAATTTTTAGTTTGATCTGTTGTTATTGTGACTGGGGTGTAAATGTGTAGGTAAGGTTGTTGTTGTTGTTGTTGTTTGGTATTATCAGCATTTCATTCTTTTTTAGAAATATTGACGCTGATCTCTTTTAATAGGAGTTTCATTTGATTGATTGCAACTCTTCCAATAAATCACAAATGAGTAAGAATTAGTAAGTCATTGAAATTAGCTCTATGCTATCAGAAAACAAATGTTGCATGATACATTCTGTTTTGACATATTGCTTATCCAAAATGAATACTTGTTTCTTTGTATTATCAAAATCACTTTGAATTGTTATTTATTTATGTTTTGTTTTTGTTTGTTTGTGTTTCAGACGAGTGTGTCAGGTGGAGGTCTACCCAGAGCAGAGGTGATGGCTGACACAGCAGTGGCGCTAGCATCGGCCAATGTCAAACTAGTATCTGCCAAGGTCATTGAGAGGCTATGCAATGTAAGAACAATTACCAATTGTTATGAAGCTTCATTGTTCTTGCGTACGTTTTTTTTCTTCAAAATGTAATCAATCAAAACTTCCTGGGATATACATTGTCATGTGGTTACAGAGGAGAAGGAGCAGTTCATTTATTGTGTGTTTTATGGCAAAGTTCTCCAGTACAATGAAATTGATATCCATTTTCATAACATGACATGACATCAACTAAAGGTTTTAGAGCTGTAGATGGAACCCGTTACAGAAATACAATCTGTGATTGAGCTGTGCCTCCCTTCACTATAAAGATTATGTGTCCTTGCACTACTGAACTTATAACTTATGTCCTTGGTGCTTAACCTTATATTACTCAGATCCTAGAGAAGACATCCCTGTCACCCACAGCAACCCTTGAGAAACATCTAATGTGGGATGATATTGCCATCTTGACTCGTTACCTTCTCATGCTTTCCTTCGACAACTGCTTGGATGGTGAGATATTCAACCATTCTTTCCCTCTTTTATTTTATGGGAATTTGAAAAGATTTAAACATGTTCAAATCTGTTTCAGTGTTGATAGATATGAAAGTGGATAAGGGTGTTTGTGCCCTTGGGTTTTCACAGATGTGTATCAATCAGACAAGTTTATTTACATCCCTAAATAGGCGTTTAAAGTCACAAGACGTATATATAGTGATATAACCCTGGCTGGAAGGCCAAAGAGTTGACCTCTTGACCAACTCACATCTATTGAGAGACATTGTTTGCATTTATATACCTCCAACAGAAAGCAACAACCCAGGCAAAACAAAACAAAGACTGGAGTTTGACAAGAATTATTTTTTTAAAGCTTTTCATTATTTTGTGTGTGGTGCATTTCTGTATTTGAATAAGCAAATGCAGTTTATCTTTGCACAATGTTTGAATTGCCCTCATTCAAATCTAGGTTAAAACATATTGTATAAATCTCTCCTTTTTTTTCTTCAGTTGCCAACAACCTACCAGCTCTGTTCCACATCATCACCATGCTGGTTTCAACTGGACCACTAGCCCTGAGAGCCTCCATCCATGGGCTAGTCATTAACATCATCCACTCTCTCTGTACATGCTCACAACTCAAGTTCAGTGGTACGTAATACCAGTACGGTAATCCAAACCGAATCTACTGTAGAGTAGGGTTGGCATTTTCTGTTCATTTTTAATATTTCAAAACCATGTGTGTTGTAAGACTCAAATGTGTAGCATGTAAACCAATATTCCAGATGAAACATATTACAGCAATTTATTGGAGTATTAGCATTTATTCTTCATGTTTAGTATTCAAAACAAAGGTATGGTGTATGGCTTGGTGCACACAAAACTTGCTTTGTTATCACAAAATTGGCAAAATATTGTCCACTTTTAAGTCCAAAAGCTCTATTTTCCTGCATGCAAGGGCATTGGTGTCTGAACCATGACAAAGTTGAAATCCTAGTCTCTCCTCCCTGAATGAATATGGCTTGGATGAACAAGTGTATCTTTGATTGCCATACACTTTGTTTTAATGGGGATTTTCCCTAACTAAGGACTTCATTTAACATGTCATGTTATCGCACATGCATGTACTTACAATTTAGAACTTTGAGTTCATGTTTAGCATTACGATCAAAGTCCGTAAATGCACCTTACTTGAAACCGATCAGGGTTAAAGATTTGAAGTAATGTTAATGATTTATTTGTTTATTCTTGCAGAGGAGACGCAGAAGGTTCTCCATCTCGCTCTTACTGAGTTCTCTCTTACACGCTTCAAGAAGATGTTTGGTATCAGCAAGGTCAAATCAGCTACCGTAGCAGCCTTCAGGTCGAGCTACAGGGAAAGACCTTCAGGACAGCAGACAGAGATCATGCCTCTGAGTAGCTTGGAAGCCATCACTGATGCTCTGCTAGAGATCATGGAGGTGAGTTAGAAGAGGGGTTGAAGGGAGGAAGAGAGAGGGGAGGGGGAAGGGAGGGGAAGAAAGAGATGTTGTACAGTAGGTGGGAGTTGTTCAGGACTTAGGGAGGTAGGGTGTAAAAGGGGAAGAGGAACAAAGGAGAGAACACTTGAAAGCTGACAGAGAGCATGAAGGCTCAGTAGTGTGGAAGCCATTACTTACAGTATATACTACTAGATGCACTTTTATATATCATCATCGTGATTCTTTGACATACCCAGTAATGACTTTGAATTTCTTTCCCTTGGTTTGTGCAGTCTTGTACGAAGGATATCCCAACGTGTGAGTGGCTGAAAGAATGGACAGAACTCACCAGAAAGTAAGTATGATTATGATTTATGTAACATACATGTATTCATTTGTAAGGTGCACAAAATATACCATTCACAATATCGGTATCATTATTTTGTAAGTCTATAAGGGTAAAAGTAACATGTCTCCTGAACTAGGTATAAATTGATTTATATTCAGAAAGTGACTTTGAACCCCTTCTATGCCTACCAGTCTTTGATCTGTTGTCATAAATTAACTTTTGATATGCAATGCCACATTTCATTGCTAAATTTGGCATTAGATTACCTCCATTGAAACAAAATTCTCAGTTTGCCATTGCCCATATTAAAGGGGTTAATCAACTCTACCAATCATTTGAAACTCTTGTATGTTTCTCCATCCTACCAGGTTTGCATTCCAGAACAACCCAGCTCTTCAGCCCCGAGCCATGGTAGTCTTTGGTTGTATCAACAAGTCAACATCACCTAAAGAGATGCGTAGTCTCCTGCTCTTCCTGGCTCATGCTGTACATAATGCCATCAATCAGAAGGATTGCTACGGGACGGGGATTCAGCAGAATAGCTCGCTGCTCTACATTGAGTCTATCGTCATTGCTATGACCAGGTTGCAACCTCTGCTAGAGAAGGTAAGATTGATTTACTCATCTTTAAATACAGCATTGTTCATACATCACATTGTAAACTGCCTTTTTAAAAAAAAGCCTCAACAAATGTCATAATTAACATGTACAGTCAAGTCACTTCATAAGCAAGAGAAGTGGAGAAAGAGATTATCTTAATTAAATTAGATCGGTCTGATAGATGGTGGGTTTTTTCAAAAGTACTGAACTCCAACCAATGGTCCATTGGTAAAGTCTATTCATTTTATAATCTCGATACAGGATATTGTGAAACATGTGGTGGCCGTAAATCTCTGATATAACCCTGAAGATTAAAATCGTTTCTGTTGCTTCTCTGTTGATTTTACAAACACAATTATTCACATTGAGTACTTTCAATCAAACTGGGCACTTAATATAACAAATTACAAAGTTTTGCTTTAAAGGCCGTATGTACTAGTTTGGCCAGGAGGGATGAGACCACACATCAAAGTCACTGACAGGTGGTTATCTCATCAACTCAGCTCTCAATTAACATTAGAAAAAGAGGATCATGGGGGACCAACAGGCACTGATTAGGAATTGTTTTCTATATAGAGGGAGCAAGTAGCTACAAGTACAGTGGGGCTTTAATGTATGATTATTTGATATGTTCTGTTCAGGATTCTCCAATGCACAAGCTACTGTTCTGGGTATCCATAGCCGTTCTTCAGCTAGAGGAAGCAGCTCTGTATGCAGCTGGTATGGCCATGTTGGAGCAGAACCTTCACTGTCTAGATGAACAAGGACTGTTTGAAGACACGGTAAGCTCTCTTTCGAGTCAAACTCTGACCTTGAAACATAGGAAATTTAGTCAATTAATCTTTTTCTTTCTTGCATGTGAGGTAATATTTTAACTTGTCAAATAATATGTGATATAAGGACTTTCGACTTAAGGGTCAAGTAGAGATGAAAACACATATAGCATGAATTATAGTCAGATTGAAACGTAACAAAATGTTAGTTATTTTATATTCCCATTCTTTAAAAGAATTTGTTGGAGGTTTGTCTTACATATTTTTAGTCTAGTAGCAATGATAACTTTTGGTATTAGAAACTTATACCCTTTTTCTTTATCAGCTTCTATATAGAGTTGTATCATCCCTTCTTCTCTCACTTAACTTAATTTTAACTGTCAAGATGAAATCAGGTGTAAAGAAGTGTTGATAGTTCTTGATGGTTAACAAATGATGACTTAGTTTACTCATTTATGTCTTTAAACAGAGTCCAGAAGTAGTCCTGATGGCTGTTAGAGAACCTCTTGATTTCCAGTTCAAGCAGATGGATCTAGCAGTTGGTCTTAGCTTCAAGTATAACTTCAACTTTGCTCTAGTTGGGCATCTACTAAAAGGTATGCAACATCAGTTTACCCCATTCCCGTGTATGAAAGAAAAGTTATCAGACTGATGCTTGACACATAAAAGCAAACGTGTATAGCATTTCTTTGATAGCCATTGAAGCATCTGTTGATTGCTTTGAAAATCTTGCCATGAACGTGCCTGGAATTGGCATTAAGAAAACAATGGATGATGTTAAATCACAGAAGAATGATGGATTGTTCACCGAATTGATTTTTTTTTCTTTCAGGACAACTGCATCCTTGACTACCATCACTCTTCCCTAAAAACAATTAAAACGTATATGCTACAATTATAAGTGATTTGGATAAGTTATGTATTGCATAGATCTTGGAATTTGGGGTAATATATTTAATGAAATTATCTTGGAATTTTTGATAATGTATGTAATGAATATATCTTGATAGATCTTGATTTAATAATGAAAAATCGTTTCTACTATGTTTCTCATTTCACATTGTGCTCTAGGTTTCAGGCATCCTACCAGCGCTACAGTGTCAAGGACAATACGCATCCTCAACCTGATGCTAGACATCGTTTGCAAGCACAGAAATTGGTAAGAACCTGTATGTAGTTTTGACTTATCTGTGTGACCTTGCAGACAATAATGATAATAATAATATACATATATAAAGCACAGAAACGATGCAAATATATTCTACTGTGCTAGCAAGAGCACCTGGGCCCCGTCTTATAAAGAGTTGAGATTGATCCAAATCAATTGCAAGTCCTCCAATCAATCACAAGTTTGCAGTCTCCTATCTCTCATGTGCGTAGTTGCCATTGATATCAATCACAAATAAGTTGCGATGTATATCAATTCTTTATAAGATGAGGCCCTAATGTCCATAAAGTTAAATGAATAGATTTGTTGTTAGAGAGTGGCATTGGAATTTACCTTTTGCCTTTCTGTTAGGTAAAGGTATGATTTTTAGGGTTTTTGAGATATAATTAATTTATATTCAGTTCCTAGCAAATGAACATAAGATGGCCTGCATGATATTGCCATCAAACTATCATGAAAACAATATAAAACTATTGAAATAGATTCTCATTTTCCAGCATAGGTTTGCTCACTTGTAATTGGTCTTTCTATTTGATGTAATATTGATTCCTCCCCTAGTGACAAGTTTGATGTGAACATGGAATCAGTGGCCTACCTAGCAGCCCTCTTACCTGTATCCGAGGAGGTGAGAAGCCGCTGCAGCATGCGTCGTAACTACCCTAACCTATCACCAGAGGCTCTGGAGCTAGACAACTCCGTCTTCGTCCAAGTCCAGTACGTCTACCATCCAACGCAACAACAGAGATCGCCCTCCAAGAAGCTACGCTCCCCGCACAAGACTCCAGGCATCACGAATGCTGCCGTCAAGACGCAGCGGAGCCTGGATTCAGCGCTGAGGCAGCAGCAAGGGACGGTAACGATTGACAAGTCGCCGTTGAAACAATACAAGAGCTTGGATCTGCCGCCCCACAGCACTGGCAGAGGGGTGCGCAGTCCTGAGGTGGTGGTCAGTGGGGCGTCGTCAGGAGGTAGTGGTGAGGGAGGGGTAGGAGAGAGGAGAACGAGGCATGAGAGGCGGACCAGTGGGACAGGGATGACCATCCCTCAACCTAGGAAGGAGCGGAAGGTCTCCACACCATCAGAGAATGTGCTTCTCAATGATGAGGTACTCACCGAGTCAGGTGTACAAGCTCTGCTTCTAACGGTTCTGGTAAGTACATGTATTTAGTAATTACATAAGTCATAGCACATAATATTTGCTTTACTTGTATCTCCCCAAAAAACATTCATTGTGTTAACCCTTTAGCAACTAAACCGCTCTTAACCGCCCCTCCTTTTACTCACTGAACTGCCGGAGACAGCTCTTTCGTTTTCGTCCGCTTTCAACGCGCTGTAGTATCATAATATTGTCCGTGCGTAATCCTTACGATATCTACAGTAGGATTCTGCATACAAAAATAGCGCATGTTTCATATTGTTCAGAACAATGTCAAAATGAGAGCAATACTGCAACATCTTCCAGTGAGTAATAGGCCATTTTTACAAAATCTCTAGTTGCTAACGGGTTAAAGATGGATAGTTTCAATTTGCAAGCCTACATGTATGTGAGCCATAATACATACCAGCGCATTCTTTTTACTGATTCCATTCTAAAAACAAAGAATGAGGCCAATCTTTTTCATTGTCTTTGTTAATTATATTGTATTTTAACTGGTATTATTTGAAACAATTGCGAAAGAAATATGATATGTTTTTAATTGTAAATTGTCATGCAATTCAGCCCAGGCTGCGAAATGATGATATTAATAAACTGAACTGAACTGAATAAAATCTTGTTTCTATTTCTTATTAGTTCAGACATTATTTGTTTCAACTTTGTTTAATCACCACACTGCTTATGTTCTTACCCCTCATAGGCTACCCTTGTACGTAACATGAATGGAGGAGGAGTGGGGATCCTCTATGAGTACTTAGCTGAAGCAAGCCAAGTCTTCCCACAAGTGTTTCCAACTGTGTAAGTATAAAGAAGATGTGCTTCTTACGTATCTATACCCCAGTCATACCACCAGACGCACTGCAAAGACACCAATAACTGACAATATGATGGCCATTTAGAGTAATTCAATTAAATTTATCAATTAATTTCATAAAATACAAAGATATAATTTATAATAAAATTGTGCCTGGGAAATCAAATACAGAATATAAACAAAACACAAAACGAGACGAAAATCATTATCATATTACAAACATTAAACAAGTAAAAAAAAAAAAAACATTAAAAAAACATTTATAAATTAATATATATTGTCAACGATGGAAAAAATTTAGAAATATAGTAATCATTGGTTCATTCCATTGTCATTTTAGTGTCATTGCGTTATTGTCTCATTGATGTGACTGGTGTATTGGTATTGGAATATGGTGTACTGTGTGTACTCTATTTATAATGAAGTGAACCTGCAATAAACCATGTCTGCATTTTGAGCTGATGAATAGATCCATGTAGATTTCCTCATGTACTTCATCATTGCTATGATAAGGTTTCTTTATATTTCAAATGATACCAAGAATGATTGACAAAATTTCACCTTACTTGACAGTGATTCTACCCGGGAAAGCTTTAAAAAGTACTAAAACTGAAAAGGTGCTCCAGACATAATTTTTGTTGTTAACGGAGGCAAGATGATTGGTCGAAAAGGTAGCTCAGTCTGAGGCAAAAACTATATGCATCCCGTTGAGCAACATACCTAGGATTCCTATGTTTCTCTAAAATTTAGTTTGTCCGATATACAGTTGGAGCCTTATGACTCTCATATATTGAGAGTCATAAGGAAGTGATTTATTAGCATTTTACATAAAGTTAACACCATTTTGGAACTAAGCAGATTATTTAATACATGATTTCGATATGTCATTTTAGGTATTCGCTACTAGACTCCAAGATCAGCCATGTTTTGAGAACATGTGACAACCAAGCCATGTTGGCAGCTGTACAGAGTATAATCCAGAACACATTAGCCAGTGAAGAAGGCCAACAACAACCTACGAATCTACAAGGTAAACCTCTTAACACAGTATAAGGAATTCTTTGATGGGCAGGGGAAGGGGTAGGGCAGATAAAAAGTTCTGTGTGGATGTAAGGGATGTATCACCCAGAACAACTTGGCTAGTGAAGAAGGCCAACAGCAACCTCTGATCCTACAATGTAAACCTCAGTATAAGAGATTGCTGTGATAGGCTAGGGTAAGGGGGTAGGGTACGAGTCAGCGATGTAAGGGATTTAAGGGATGTATCCAGTACACATTGGCTAGTGAAGAGTGCCAACAACAACCTACTACTCAACAATATAAACTTGACTGTAAGATATTCTTTGGTAGGCTAGGGAAAGTTGTTCGTATGAGATCACTATTTTAAAGTTCTTTCAATTAACTAATATGTGTTTAAATTTATACATCTTTTTCCTTTTTTTTTTTTTTTTTTGGACAGGCATTGGCTTTGGAGGCTTGTGGCGCTTCAGCAGTCAGTTTCCACAGGTGAGTAACATGCATGTACATTAAGCTTCATAGAAAAATATAAATTATCATCACCATATAAAATAAGGTATCCACAAGACATTTGAATCCTATTAAATAACTTTTGATGTCACATGCAGGGGCATAAAAATAAAAAAAAATTGACGACAGGAAATACTAGTAGTACATCTTTACGACTGATTTACTTGAATTAGACTGTATTTTTAGCTTGAGCTATACTGCTATAGAAGACACAATTATTTGTAATTATCTACATTGTATGCAATGATTTTTATAAGTGATTAATAATTTTCTCCTGCAGTGTTTCTTGGCACCTGATGTAAACTTTTCTCATTAATTCCCACTTTTTTATTTCCAGAAATCTGAGATCCGAGGTACATCTGATCACTTTGTGAAGCTGTTACAGGCCATGGCTGAGCAGTGTCGTACAGGAGATGACAGTGATTGGCTGTCTGTACCAACCCTTGAGTTCTTCTCTCTAACCACACCCTCGGTGATAGGTAACCTCTCAAACTCCATGTCATCTCTCTGCTCCTCACACTCTGCATCAGACGTAGAGCAGCTCTCATCATCTCACAGTGCTCAGCTCTTTGCAGTGCCAACCCAGCGGCTACGGCACTGCTCTGACCATCAGACCATGCTGACCTCTACCAGCTTGACCGGGAACGTCCAAGCCAGGCCTCATCATCGGAGCAGCTTCAAGAGAAAGAAGCAACCTTCCAACAGGTAGCACTCATCTAGCACCAGATGTCTATATTTATTCAAATCATTTCCCTATTTAAAGACGTGTAGATATGCTTCTGCACCTATTACAATTTACAATTCTAATGAATCTAGGATTTCAATGAATCAAATGACATATATATATAAGAAAATTTATTTAAAATTACAGGAAGATTAATGGAAGCTCTCCATAGCAGTGCACTGTGGTAATGTGAAAAAGAAGTGAGCTTTATTTTTAAAAGACATCAAGAGTATGGCGTAATTATGTATTCCAGTAATGACGAGGAGAATGGAAAATGTGTGTGTTGAAAGCAGGATTTTATTCATTGTACTTATCTGCTAGATTAATTTTGTATTACTTTTGCAAAAGTTTGTTCTGAGTTACAACCTAGTTCCCTTTTGTAGTAGATGGTATGCAAGCCAAGATATAACAAGCCATTACATCGGAAGTACAGAAATTACCAATTGAATGGGGTAATGAGAATTGGGAGTCTTGCTTACATGAAAATAAATTGCATAGGTCTGTGGTCTGAACAAAGTAGCTTACCACAGAGGGGAACTTCATTTTCTGTTTGTATTAAAAATACATATTCTAGCAATCATAACACAACTGCAACCTGTATGTTCCCCAGGGGGGTCACTCCCAACATGACTTGCTAAGCACCCGTGTCCAGAAAAAGCGGCGAAAGGGTGTCATTTTCAGCTATAGGGCGGCGTTGTCAACATTTTCATTTAAAAGGGGTCGTTTTTCATGCACTGATCGCACAAAAAACAAATAAAGGGTACTTTTTCAGGTTCACAGGTGTTGATGCTTTCTTAAAAAAGGGATCATTTTAGAAATAATGTGATATGCCATTAGGGTCCATTTCAGATGTTTATGGACACAGGTGGGTAGCATTTGTGTATGAGAGTGACCCCCTGGGGTATGAACATGTACATTCAGTCTTACAATGCAGGCTTATTTCATCAGTAGATTTCAATCATTGTTACAGTAATAAGTTTAATGACCACTGCTGGATTATGGTGCTTGCATTTATTTGCTCTTATTTTGTGAATTTCATATTATACTGCCCGACACTTATACTGCTTCTATTTGAAATCATGACTGCCTTCCTGTTTATCAGAACAGGGTTTTATTTTAAAACGGTGTACAGTAGGTTGAGAAAGATAGAAATGTTTGGATGAGCTTAGATGGTCCAGAAAAACCTTCCAAGTAATCCTAGCATTATACATCATTCCACTAGAATGGCAGGAGCTCAGTAGCACCTACATTTAACAACTAAATTATTCATACTCTGACCAATTTTGTAATTTTTTCTGATTGTGTTAAAAATTTGATTTGGCCGATTTATGTTTCCTGATAATATGACAAATTAAAGCTTACATCTATTAGAAATTATTCAACAAAGTCCTTAATTCAACTGGTCCACTTGTCATTCTTGAGTTATGAAAGACACAAGAAACCTCAAATTTACAAGGGGTATGAATAATTAAGTTGTTAATTGTAAATGTGTTCGGACCCACAGAACTGATAACCCATGCCTTAAACACATAAATGATAGGATAATAGCAGAGAATATGAACTTATGCTGTATGAACACACTTTTTTCTTTCTTCTTTTTTCTTTTTCTTATTTTTGGTTACAAAATAAGAGAACGCACATAGGATTTAGAGAAATTGAAATATTATGTTTTGGTATGATACAGAGTGAGATGACTTTTTTTCTTTCTCCAGATGTACATGTAGTGAAGATACTTAATGGAAGTACATGAAGAAGCCCATCTGCACTGTAGACCTTTGACCTTTGTTAGATTGTAGGATACATGTATGTACAAGGTTGTAGAAAATGTATTGTACAAAATGTGAATATATATATTTATGTACAGGGCCATTGCTACTGGTTCAGAATCTTCATTGTACAATTTATTGTATATACTTGTAGAATTGAAAATGAATTAGAAGACAGGAAAGGAAAGAAATTGATAATTTGTACAACTTGCCAGAACTATATACCTACAGTATCGTTATGTATTTTTAAAATGTTTAATATGAATATGCTTTGTTTGATATGCAAGAGTGTGGATTAATTGTATGGGTCCTTGATAATGTGTTGAAGCTACATGTATTTGTATAAGGTAGACACGTATTGTAATTTCTCAGCACTAAATAACCTGTCCGATCAATGCTTTCCTGCTTGTGTAACTTTTCTCCAATCGCAGATTCCTTCATTCGATGTACAACCTATGATTCAATCTCAAGTCATATATTAGTTTGTCTTATATTGGTTTCTGTGACTCATTTTTGGTTCAAGTGTTCAATTTCTTCACATTTTCATTCTTGTTCAAGACATCGAGATTCTGTGTGACAGAGCTGTGACTGCCTTTAATCATGTTATTGATTTAAATTTATCAAAATTACAAACCAAATCCTGAAAATTGAAAGTCATATGGACAGAGAAATGCAGGAGTGAAAAGAGGCAGGCTTCATTCAAATCCTTTCAATTCATTACCCCCACACCTATGGATTAAACATCCTGCATTTCTAAGAAATATTACTTCACTTAACTTCTTCATAAACAGCTGAAAACATACCTCTACAATTCTTTATAGAATAGAGGACAGCACCTTGTTTCCTCTGGAAAAGGTGCATCGTAATTCCAATTATTATTAATAACTACAAATTTACTTCATGGTTAAAAGCTTTGGAAATTCAGTTATGGGTGTCAGATTAAAAAAATCATGCTCAAATTATTTTGAAATCTAAGTTTTCTTTCATCGATATCGTGCTGTGGTATTTTTCAGTTATAACTCACTTCATCAGTCTCTTCCTGTTCAAAATCATTTAAATTTGATAAACCAATTACATGTACATTTATTTTGATTGTAGCACTCATCTCTTGGAAGATCAGTTAATGTATTGGTGATTCACCTCTTAAATGCCAATGAGATGACTAGTGTATAAATCCTTAGTATTTATACAGGATAATCAATATCCTATTCATTTTGATTTTACTTGTGATCATATACCTGTTGTATAATGTCTTGTTAATTGTACACAATTCAATGACAACTCCCACACAAACTGTCCACTTTGTCAATTATGATTATATATGAAAATGGCATATATATTTTGTGCTTATTAAATGAAAAACAAAACTAAAATGTTTTCTTGCTCGTTGCTCTAATGTTTTGTGTGTCCGTTTGTCTGTTTAAAACTTCAAGTGTGAGATTTTGATTCTTAATGTTTGGGAGTTTCAGAGGATGTAGCAAGGGTCTTGATATTAGGAGGTCAATGGTTCAAACCAAATAATGTTTGCGAACATCCCTAAAAATTGAAGTGCCACCACCAAGGAGTCGGGTTTCTAGTAAAACCCAATCTGACATATACCTTAAGTACACCTGAAAATATGGTAAACCTCTCTTTAAGTTTCTCTTTCATCTTTATTTATCTCCGTGTCTCTTGTTTCTCTCTTCTTTTTATCTTTTGGATTAGAGAATATTTGGACTCCCTCTATCAATACTGAACTAAAAATGGTACTATAATGAAGCCTTGGCGTTATTTATTTTTAAGTTTAAAAATTTTCCTAATCAATCGGTCAATTTCATTGCATTTACATGCACATATTCATAACCTTTTTTTTGGTAAGATTTTGGTAAAACCCTTTGAGGGTTGGAGCCATCTCTCTGCTTAATAATTTTTTCAACTTAAAAAAACATCTACAGAAAAAAAAGACTGAATGACACCAACATCAGTGAAATGTATCAAACACAGAGGACTTCATTATTTGAATGTACAGTCTTATATTTTAATATACAAAATCTACACATAATACAATACAATTCACAGAGACATGGACATTTGTACATTATTCACAAAGCAGGATGAAAGAAAATGCCATGCAATTGCAGGTCATCATATTTACATTTTAGTTTGCTTAAATTATTTTCCTTTACTTCTATTTTAGTTTTTACATTTTATTTCAAACAAGTCTACATTCCTAAAATACTTCTTGTGACAGTCTGTGGCATAGCAGTGTTTGAGGGGGGGGGGGGTTAGGGAAGGAATGACAAAACAAAGAAAGAAAGAAATCAGTAATAAGGGGAGAGAGAGAGAGAGAGAGAGAGAGAGAGAGAGAGAGATAGAGAGAGGGGGAGAGAGAAAGGGGGTAGAGGAGGAGTTCAAAAGGGGAAGGGGGGAGAAAGGGAGAGGGGGAGGAATGAGAAAAGAAGATGCTGTAATACTCCCCTCCTCCATCTAAGCAGTATCCCTGTATAATCCCATTCATGCATCTACCGTGACCAGAGAACATCCTGTGAGAGAATTTAAATTAACTACATATCTACGCCTGTCAAATCTGTTGTGACCCATTTTTATCATTCCACCATCAATTACTGATCGTTTGTGTTTATACATGTATATGTAGTATGTACTGATATATATTACTTTGTTAATACAAGTTTTTCAAGTCATGTGACCTACATGTATGAATTTCTATTTTTTAAACTTTGTGCTCATAGGTATTTAAATATTAGTTTTAGAATGTTAAACATAAACTCTGTAACATATCATAATTGGGACTTTTTCTTTGTTTTGCTGGCAGCTTTTTCAAGTTCCTCCAAGATTTCTTCCTTTTCTTGCACTGTCCTGTAAGTGAGAGAGGAGGGGAAAAGAAGAGACAGAGAGAAAAGAACAGAGATAGAAAATTAAAACAATTGTAGCAATAATCAAATTCATGGCATAATAACTTTCCTTTATATTTTTAGAAATGTACATGTATATGACCAAGCCAAAGTAGCACACAATACGACTGCATTCACTGTCAATACCTGAAATACAGTAATTTTCTTAAATTTCCCTCATACAAAGCCTCTCTCTGACACATTCCAAGCTTGTTATCTACCATTTCTCACAGTAGTTCCTCCCTCCCAAGCCTGTCTGGGTTTATACAGTCAAACTTGCTTTAGTGACCACCTGTCTACAAAGACCACATTTTTAGTTTCCCTTGAAAATGGTTTCTTATTGAAACATGTACTAAAGGAGCCTGCATACAAAGACTACTTGTTTAAGTTCCCTTGGGCCGTTGCTATAGACAGGTTTGACTGTATATCTATTTTCTTACTTTGCCATTTGTTTTACCATTTATTTCTGAAAGTCGCTCCTTGAAATGTGATGTGTCTACACCCCCTACCACCCCTCTCATACGCCTTTTGTTGTTAACCCATTGCCTATGGAAACTGGGAGGTCCCTATATTAAGCCTATGGTAATCACAGAATTCAGTAGTCAAGGGGTTAATATCCTTGTCCTGCTTCTTACCTTGTCATCTGTTCCACCATCTCTGATAATTGTTCCTCTTGGTTCAATGCTTCTACCACTTCACTCTCTAACTTTTGCTACAAGAAATACAAAATACCAAGAAGCATGAAAAAAAAGCAATAGTATTGAATGGCTGGACTACTGAAACAGTAGATAATGGATAACTATGGAATGATGAGAACTGCTACAGAACCATTAATGTCTGGAACAATAGAAGCAATCATGTTGGCTAATCCAAAAACGTGAAACATAAATGCGAAGTTTAACACAGCTTACTACACCTTCAATATGTGTATTTCATATGGTAGTACACATCAGGCCATTACTAGAATTAATCGCTAAATCAAAGGAAAAATTCATTAATGTTTAACTACATCTAAAATAATGACATAATTCAAATTCATAAAGTAGGGGTCTATAGCTAGATCAACACTCTCTTGTTAGCATTTATCCCTAGCTAAAACTGGAGACATTTGAAAACTCAATCAAGATAAACAAAATAGTCAATAAAGATAGCATGAAACTCACACAAGCGGCCTCCAGTGTGTTGAATTTAGGGCGTTTAGTTGCAGGGGCCTTCAGATTCCTGGACTTGTCCAGTATCCTGTAATAATAATAATAATAATAATAATAGATCACATTTATAAAGCGCCTAATACATTGTTTCTAGGCGCAGAGGTGCTGTTGTCCCAGCAGCCATTAAGTGAAGCAATGTCCTTACACAAAATAAAGCCGGGACGACAGCACCACGAATACACAATATTATTTAGTAAACTAGATGGAATTCGACTGCGCGCAGTCGAAAATGATGCCTCCGTCATAGAGCAATTTTACAAACCAAAACAGAAGAAATTTTTCGAATTCAAGTTCAATTGTAATCCATTGACAGGTTCTCAGAAAATCGTGATTACAAGCAATTTCTCATATACATATATGACCCTTTGATCTTTGACCTCATGACCCTAAAATCTACTCAGTTCATTGGCTCTGCAAGATGTCCTGAGTTAAATAGTAATCCATCTGTCAGTTCTAATGAGAATGCGTTCACAAGCTATTTTTGCATACATAATGAGCCCATGACCTTTGACCTTTGACCTTATGAACCAAGAATCTACTCAGTTCATTGGCTCTGCAAGTAACATACATGACCTAATTTTGGCAGGAATCCATCAATCGCTTCTTGAGATAACGCGGTCACGAGCTGTTTTTGCATACATAATGTGCGCTTTGGCCTTTGACCTTTGACCTCATGACCCCTAAATCTAATCAGTTCATCGGCTCTGCAAGTAACATACATGACCTAAGTTTGGCAGCAATCCATCAATCGATTCTTGAGATAACGCGATCACGAGCTGTTTTCGCATACATAATGAGCCCTGTGACCTTTGACCTTTAACCTCGTGACCCCAAAATCTAATCAGTTCATTGGCTTTGCAAGAGACATACATGACCAAAGTTTGGCAGGAATCCATCAATCGGTTCTTCAGATAACGCGATCACGAGCTGTTTTTGCATACCTAATGAGCCCTGTGACCTTTGACCTTTGACCTCGTGACCCCAAAATCTAATCAGTTCATCGGCTCTGCAAGATACATACATTACCAAAGTTTGGCAGGAATCCATCAATCGGTTCTTTAGATAACGCGATCACAAGAACGGGACGTACGTACAGACGTACGTACAGACGTACGGACGGACGGACGGACGGACAACCCGAAAACATAATGCCTCCGGCTACTTCGTAACGGAGGCTCTGCAAGATACATACATTACCAAAGTTTGGCAGGAATCCATCAATCGGTTCTTTAGATAACGCGATCACAAGAACGGGACGTACGTACAGACGTACGTACAGACGTACGGACGGACGGACGGACGGACAACCCGAAAACATAATGCCTCCGGCTACTTCGTAACGGAGGCATAAAAATTACAGTAGGCCTATGTTACGCCATGTTACGTTAAAAAAATCAAAATTACAGAAATTATAAAAGCAAAATTCCAGTCATCTAATCTAAGGTTGTAAGGAACTATGAAAAAGGCAATCCACCCTTAATAGCAACTTGACTAATACGTTTTTTTATAACTGAAAGATCTATGGGTCTGAATAATCTCAAACAATATTTGAGCTATCCATGATATATCATTGGGTATATCTCTCAAGAAAAGAGAAGAAAAAAAATCATATTTTGGTATGAGGCAAATCTGAAAGTTGTTCTTGATCAAGTCAGTTGAGGTTCACATATGTATGTTTAGAACTATCAACTTCAATCATAACAAACTTTCTCTTTTTTGTCCAATTTTGTTTGGTATAGTCTTGTTCAATCTTTTTCACCAACCTATTTATTTTTTATTTTTTCCTTTTCATCCAGTTTCCTAGCATTGATATGGTGTAGTTGTTTCTTTCCTTACCTTTTCTTCAGATTATTTAGAACATCTCGCACATCTGAATATGCCACAGAGCTTGTCTCAGAAAGCACCGATCTGAAAGGTATTAAGATTTTCAAATGTTATTACAAGGATAGACAGCTGTTACATGAGAATTAAGAATTATGTTACCCTAAAAAGGGTGAAATTTTCCTTTGGTGTTTGGAATTCAGGTACACCATGAAAGAGTTGAATAAAGTTCTCTTTGAGCCGAGACCTAAACCTGTAAGCTTAATTGTTGTTTTTCTGTGACAACAGCAACGTTGCATGGGGGGATTGGGGATTGCTTTAAAGACCCCAACAAAGTCAAAAGAGGAAATATAATTTTAATTTTTTTTTTTTAAAGGATATTGAGTTATAAAAATGCTTTAGAAGGACTTGCATTAAATTCAATTTTAGGCTAAATTACCCCCCCCCCCCCCCTCTGCTAATAAAATCAATCATTTATTCTTTTTGACTATCAGACAAAGACAAACACTATAAGACAAAGGTTGTGATGAGAATTATAATGATGATAATAAAAGTGATAACTTATACGACAGTGATGCACAATGATAATGAGAAATGATACTGGCGAAATAGAAAATACAACAAATTGCTGCAGAAAGAAAAACACTTTAATCTGCCAGTAAATTGTGTTGAGTCCCCTAGCTATACTCACATGATGGCGCTGTCGATTGTTTGAACAAGTAAAGCCTGAGATGATTTAGTGATGGGTTTCCAATGTGAGAAGGTCCTTGCAGATACTGTACGCTCCTTGAACATTTCATCTGAATAAATTTTTTTATTAAGAAAAAGAAATCATAGATGATAATCATTTCATTCTTTTTTCAATTAAAAAAAGAAAAATCATTTCAATTTTTCTCCAGTAAAAAAAAAAATCATTCCATTCTGTATTTGTATGTTTTAAATTTGTATAAATAGTGTTGAATAAACTTTGAATTTGAATTTTTATATATACAATATATATATATTTTGTTGAAGTTAGAACTGAACTCCCGTCAATGGCATATAGTGGAACATGCCCCTACATCAAATGGTAAACATAGGTTAAGAGATAACAGTAGAAAGAAGTAAGAGGGAGAAGGCAACATGAAAATAAAATAAAATCCTTGTATATCTTCCTTGAACATGTCACCCGAATGATTGCCGAAAATCAGAAGGATGTTGATTCAAGACAGTGAATTCTTACAACTGGCTAATGCAATACGTCCACCCAATAAATAAGATTGCCGCCCCCCCCCCCTCCCCCACACACACACACACACAACCTGCCATTAAACAGGAAATGCAATTTTCTTCTTCTGCTGCAGTGCTGCCTGTCTTGAGCTTTGACTGATCATAATTGATATCAGGGCCCCGTCTTACGAAGCTTGATATTGATATCAATATCAAGCTTGGTCCTCCAATCAATTGTAAACTTACAAACCCATATCTCTTTAATACACACAAGCGATAGATTTTTGAAGTTGCAATGGATTCTAATCACTGACAACTCTTAATAAGACAGGCCTTGTAAAGACAAAAAAAAAGTAAAGCATACTGCAGGTATAGCTCTAAGAAGGAGGAGTTTTGAGAAGATCTAGCTTCAAGGGACTTACCATCACCGCTTCGTGCTTTCTTTCTTTTTGGTTTGGAAATCTGTACAATGGGAGAGAAAAAAAAGGAAACATGTCACTGTTGTCACATCATCTTCACAAAATGAAAAATTCTCACTTGCACTTTATCATGACCATAGGCATGCAAGGACACAGTGGAATGTCTGCATAAAATGTGTGACCCCCCCCCCCCCCCCCTCCCCTAAAAAAAAATCATTCCAATCACCAGAGCTGCCAACCTTGTGCGACCAAAAAAAGGAATCATGATGGCAAAAAAAAGGAATTTCAAGCCAAAAAAAGGAATTCATAAAAAGAACCTTACAACCACGCGCGACACACTTCCAATGCAGAAATGTTTATTCATCATGCTGTTTTTTCCATACAAGCAGGTAATTTTTTTGGTGGTTATTTTGGTATTATCGGCATTTATTTTCTTTTGAGAATATTTTTCTCTTCAAGTATGTTTTAAAATAAGTTTTCTATTGAATTCGTGATCAAATCACCATTTAAGGGCAGTTGTTTGACGTGTGGTATGTAAAAATAAAAAATTTAAAATTTTTTTTTTTTTAAATCAAAAATTAAAAAATTATTAAAAAATTATTAAAAAACGTATTTTATGAAGAAAAAACGTAGTACCGTAATTTGGAGGAAAAAACGGAGTAATTCCGGCACAAACGGAATGGTTGGCAGCTCTGAATCACCCGTCTCTTACACTCAATTATCTATATTACACTATAACTTTGAAATGTGTTAACTAATGTACAAAAATTGAGAATGATCCTATCTGTTTGGATTGAAATCAATAAAGTTTGAATTCTAATTTGAATTTTATTAAACGATTCTCGTTTTGTAGATTCATATTTAGTTGAAACATTGACCACATGTCAATAAAAAAATAGTTTTTTATTAAAAAATGTATTAAAGGCACTTGTACAATAGTTAAATAGTAGCAGAAATAGTAGTAGTGATAGTAGTAGTACAGAAGCGGCAGCAAAAGTAGTAGCAGCAGGAGCAGTAGTAGTAGATCTTTCTTAGATAATTTGCTTAGCAACAAAGCGTATCTGTTACAAGGTCCAAAAAGAGGAACTGCCCCAAAACAAGACCACTTTCCATCTCCCTTGTGTAATTTTTATCTCTGAAATAAAATGTATTACCTGGCTGACATTAACAGCTGTCCTAACGATAGGACTGTCACTGCGATTGCGTGATCTTGACGTTGAAGCCTTCTGATGGGATTTCTTGCCTGTGCTTGTTGTCTTCTTAATAACCTTAGGCATCTTGACAACAATGTTCTTCCTTTCTTCTGAGACAGAAATCTAATGAAGATTTACAAAGGCATCTATGAAAGGAGAGATAAAGAATAGGATATCTTCTGTTATTAATAGAAATTAATCATTTTCTCATAAATGCATTCATACATGTGACCGAGCCAGACTCAACACAGCATATTTCCAAATGAAACAGACTTAATAGCCCATGTCTGCGATACAAGCATTATCAAGATCTTCCTTTGTAAAGTGAACGAGGCACTAGTTTTTTGTTTGTTTCCTTTTTTGCTACCCAATTTTGAATAGTCTACCTGCACATAGAGAGGAGTAGACTATGAACTACCGTCAGTTTCAGCAAGAGTTCGTGCACAAATATACTGAACAGAGCTCAGTTCATGAGATGTGGAACTGTTTCAAGATCAGCCTGCTAAACATGATGGACAGTCACGTACCAGCGAAAATGACATCCACTCGCTTTAGTCAGCCATGGGTCACAAGGTCGGTGAAACGGTCATCAAGGAGGATAAGGCGGGCCTTCAATCATGCCTTAGCGACTGACAGACAGGAGGATTTCAACAGATACCGTGAGATCAAGAAATCAACTCAAGCAGCCTGCAAACAAGCTTACAGTGAATACATCAACAACATCATCAGCCCCGACTCCAAGGCAAACCCCAAGCGATTCTGGAGTTTCATCAACAGTAAGAGGAACGACCGTACTGGAGTAGCCCCACTGAAAGACACCAATGGGATTACACATTCAGGCAGCAAGGAGAAGGCCAACATGCTGAATCACCAGTTTGCATCAGTGTTTAACAGGAATGAGGACATGTCAACCATGAAGGATAAAGGACCAAGTCCATTCCGGGACATTGATGAAATCCAGATCTCACCAGCTGGTGTCTACAAACTGCTTTCCTCTCTCCAGGTACATAAAGCTACTAGGCCAGACAAACTGCCTGCACAACTACTGAAGACGCTGTCATTGGAAATAACTCCAGTGTTGACTATGCTTTTTCAAGCTTCACTGAATCAAGGAGACGTTCCAGAGGACTGGAAGAAGGCAGACGGAGTTCCCATCTTTAAGAAGGGAGAGCGGTGCCAAGCAGTCAACTACAGGCCAGTGTCACTGACATCTATTATCTGCAAGACACTGGAACACATCGTATGTAGCAGTATCCTTGAGCACCTTGATGACTTAAACATTCTGTCAAATGCTCAACATGGATTCCGGAAGAGACGGTCTTGCACATCCCAACTTCTCCTCACTATTCAAGATCTTTCCAGTGGAATTGACTCGAGAAACCAGATAGATGTAATCCTGTTGGACCTATCAAAGGCTTTTGATAAGGTTCCGCATGGAAGACTCCTCCATAAGATCCACTACTATGGAATCCGAGGTAGTACCCATAACTGGGTTGAGGAATTCCTTACAAGACGCTCACAGAGGGTATTGCTTGATGGATGCACTTCTCACACCTCTCCCGTCCTGTCGGGCGTTCCCCAAGGCAGTGTAGTCGGGCCTCTTCTCTTCCTGCTGTTCATCAATGATCTTCCTGACTGCATATCAGTGAAGTCTATGGTTAAATTGTTTGCAGATGACTGCATATTGTACAGGAAGGTGTCTAGTGCAGATGATGAAGAAATGCAGAATGCCTGCAGAAGGACTTAGATGCACTCCAAGAATGGGAAGCAGACTGGCTAATGCAATTCCACCCTCAAAAATGCCAGGTTATGCATGTCTCTAGTAAAAGGCAGACATCCAAAGCCTCCTTTCCTTACTTCATCCATGGAGAGCAGCTACATGTAACAGAAACTGCAAAGCACTTGGGGGTCCACATCCAGAGCAACCTGAAATGGAATCACCATGTAAACGTCACCGCCAAAAAAGCCAACTCTGTACGGTGCTTTCTGCAAAGAAACATGGGGGCCTGCCCACAGAAGACCAAGGAGTTGCTGTGCAAGACATTAGTACGCCCTGTGATGGAGTATGCTGCAATAGTGTGGGACCCGTCCACCCAGGAGAACATCAGAAAGGTGGAAATGGTGCAACGCCGTTGTGCACGCTTCGTCCTGGGTGACTATCGGCGCACAAGCAGCGTCTCAGCCATGCTGAATCAACTTAAATGGGCAAGTCTGCAGAAAAGAAGGGCTCAGCAGAAAGTAGGCATGGTTTACAGCATACTCCATGGCCAGGTTGATCTTCCAGTCACCTACATGTACTTCATACCAGTTGTTGGTCCCAGCACCCGTGGAAATCCACAGAAGTTCCATGTCCCCTTTGCCCGAACTCTGCTATTCCAAACCACATTCTACCCAGATACTATCCGACTGTGGAACTCCTTAGACCTTACCATCTGCTGTCATTGATTGCACCTCTTTGGAACTTTTCAAGCAGAAGGTGCAACACATCAAGCTCCGTTTAGCTTCAGACTGTTTTCAGCTGCACATAGAATTCTTGTAGAGCCTTTTTACTTGCACTGTACACTCGGCACTTGCGAGCACAAGGTACGATAATACGCCATCCGCGGACAGTACTATAGACCACACATAGGAGCATCACTATCCTGGCTGTGTAGTAAAATCTGTGCTTTGATTCTCAACATTTCAAACACCACTGTACAAAACTCAACTGATTTCACTCAAAATCGGTAATTTAGTGACAATTGATGACACCTAAATAGCAGTAAAATACATTTTTTTCAACTTATGGCGGTGTGACCAAAGTTCGCGCGTGACCAAAGTTCGCTTTCTCAAAAAATCGGTAAGATTTCGAAAATCTGATATCACCAATGGAAAGAGGGTCTTAAAATTACCCAAAAACGAAATTTTCTTTAGAATTGGTTGCGAAATTGTGAAAATATTGACAAAAGATCAGCAAATTTTGCAGTTATTTGCGTCCGTTCCGAAAAATTATCAACTTACCGATAAGGGTCTGGAAATCTTCATTTTGAGATCAGAAATCCTGAAAATTGTAAGTAAAGAGTGGTACGAACTGATTGTACGATATCTTGCCTTGCAAATTTTGATATTACCTTATTTTTGATGGATCACACTTTTTGATAAATCAACTGTAAACCACCGTGCGTGAAGTTAGGTCTCATTGTTTTTATGACTTTTTCAGATGCAGCGCGCACGCACGATCGGACATCGAATTTTTGGATCGCGATATCTCCGAAATCCTTTGACGGTAAATTTTTCTAGTTAAACAAATCTGTAGTAAAAAACTTTGCCGTCCATTTGGTAATAATTGAAATAAATAAAGTTGTGTAGAATGTGAGAAATCACAGATCGAATATCACATTTTTTAATATGTTCTCAAATATCCGCGAACTTTGGTCACCCCTTCATACTGATGTTAAAAAGGATAATTTAAAAATTCAAATTGTAAGTCTAGTAGTATCAAACTTTGCTTACAGCTGCATCGACATGATTGTGTACAGTCTATGCGATATTGTGTGGTATGTGTATTTGTGTGTAAACTAATAAAATAACCTCTTGCCAATCAATCATACACCAATCTTCCAAATCACTGCCCAACTCACAAGTCCTCTCTCCTACTAGTACTATAAAATCTCTCCTACCTCATGCCCACAGAGCTCTAAAAATAACACGTCTGACCCAGTATAAGTCCTGTCCAGCTCTGTCTCAGTTTTATTTAACCCAGGCTGTACATGTGCCTCCATGCAAATTATATTCAAATATAGCACAATAGAATGTAAGGATAAAACTGAATATTTATAAGAACAAGGAGAAGAGAACCAATGATAAGTAAGAAGTGGAAATATGCAAATGAGAAGAGAACATACCACCTGTTCTAGCTTGAAGAGTTGGTATGTGGTGGAGATGAATGGTGGAGATGAATGGTTGAGATGAATGGTGGAGATGAATAGATAAAATGCAAATGATGTGAAATGGATATGTATGGGAAGAAGAGACTAGAGAAACAAATAGTAATCGTGACAAATAAAAGTAGGGAATGAGTCTAATGTTAACTCTTACATAAACTTCCCTTTCAACTAAAAATGTCCTCATCTTTTGTAAAGAGCCAATACATCAACATTTAACACCAAATATACAATCTTAATCTACACAGATTCCCTGTGTCATGTACCTGAGGTACATGCATCATAACAGATAACCAGAGAATATTGTTTAAAAAAATTCTTTTTTTAAATTGTTTCTTTTCTCCATGAGCCTGGTTCTTTATAACGGCTCTCCATCCGAAACTTCTATCCTCAAAATTTGGAATTACATGCTTTAAAAAAAAATTAGTCTTTCAAAATCAGTCTATCAACTTTTCCGAGTCTCCATTATCTGAACTACAGTGTATACCTGTATAAAACAGAAAGAGAAAAAAAAATTGTCATGAATTACTGGGAATGCTATCCCGCATACACTTGTAAAATACACATTGTCATAAATATACTTCCGTAGGTCAAATTCAAATCCCCAACTTTGTGTTGTTGTTTTTTTTCTCTAACCAAATGAAGAAGAAAAAAAAAATTTCTTTTCTCGTCTTCCTCTATTGTTTGAACATAATCATGCTTTTTGTTCTTGTCTGAAGATTCCAATACCTTTTCCTGTGGTGATTTGTTTTCAAATAGAAACATAATAAACCCAACCAACAATACCGACAACTGTTGGCCTATTTCCAATACATAGGAATTTCTTACTGTTGGCATTAACCATAAAATAACAAAAGTGCATCTGTCAATGACAAAAAGTATATAAAATTGATCTTATACGGTACTCATTTCCGTTACCGATAATAAATCCATCTTCTCTTTCCTTGCGCTGTTGAATGATCAACACCACAAATTTAAATCAAATCCAATAGACAGGAGTTGCATCTCAACAACAACAAAATGTCCACTCCATAGCTTTGTGTTATAAAAATCTAAAAAAATACATACTGGAACTATTTTTGTTGTTGACAGTACCAATTTTGTTAAATATAAATCGTTATACAAGGGCAAATTAACATTTCCGCACAAATTGTTGACCTGTTGCCAATTTACAGATCTATAC